GATGACCGACATTTACGCGGGCGGAGCCGCGGGCAGAAGCTAGTTATAAATATTTCTTATATATATAATTTGCTTACCTCAACTATGACTTATATTAATTTAAGGATTTAAATTAATTTATTTAAAATAAATATGTTAACCTTTCATTTTCAGGACACAACAATTTCTAATCTGCCAGATCAACCTGCCATATTTGAACCTGTTGCCGGTCCATCCAGAATTTATCCTTTAAGAGAACATAATGCAAACATTATCACTCCAACCAGTTGTTCAGGAATGATTGTGTGCGAGTCTTCAAAACAAGAAGGAGATAAGAAAAACAAAATGTTGATAAGGAAACTGAAAAATAGTATGAACAAAGTATATAGATTACAAAAAACTGTAAAATATTTAAAAAATGAAGCATTTTTAAATGAAATCTCCAACAATGAAACAGTAAAAAAAATCCTCAATAAAAAAATGAGTTCATCATTTGCCCTGTTACTGCAAGGAGAACTGCAGAATTATAAGAGGAAGAAACCTGGACGCAGGTGGAACATGGAAGCTAAAATAATAGCATTGAGGCTCTATAAAAGGTCACCAATATGCTACAAGTTATTGAGGAGAATGATTTGTTTACCAGCACCCAGCACATTAAAATCCCTCTTAAGCAGATTTAGGATGAATGTGGGGATACACAAAACAACACTTACAATGTTGAAAAAGATTACAAAACACTTTGGGCCATCTGAACGAGAGTACATATTGTTGTGGGATGAAATGTCATTAAGAAAAAATTTATGGTACAACTCTAAGTCTGATCAAATTGAGGGTTTTCAAGACCATGCCACACAAGGTAGATCTCCACAGGCAGCTTCATATGCGCTTGTATTTATGGTGGTTGGAGTTAGGAAGCCAATTAAACAGCCAGTGGCTTATTACCTATCAAGTGGATTTGTCACAGCTGACAGACTATCTGTTTTGATTAAGGAGGTATGCATTTCTTCTTCATTTTGAAAGATGATCATGCTTATGTTAAATAAGCTAAGTTACTAATCTGCCTTAAAAAAATTTCAGGTTTTAAATTGTTGCTTTAATGCTGGCCTTAATATATGCGCTTCAGTTTGTGACTTGGATGGAGTCAACAAGAAAGCTCTGTGTCTATTAGGAGCTTCTGTAGAGAATCCCTATATAGAAGTGAGCAATCACAAAGTAGTCACGTTATTTGACACACCACACTTGCTGAAGTGCTTCAGAAATCTGTTCATGAAATATGATGTAAAGTTTATGACCAATATAACATCAGACAACAAACAAGGAATTGGTAAGTCATTGTTATTTAGTTTAAAAAAAGTGTTTAATAATATGTATGTAGTTTATACTTAACTAGCTGACCTGCGCAACTTCGTCTGCGTCTTTCAATAGTAATAAATTTTCTCCGTTTTTGAAACATTCTTTATTGGTGCTCCGCTCCTATTGGTCTTAGCGTGATGATATATAGCCTATAGCCTTCCTCGATAAATGGGCTATCTAACACTGAAAGAACTTTTCAAATCGGACCAGTAGTTCCTGAGATTAGCGCGTTCAAACAAACAAACAAACAGACTCTTCAGCTTTATAATATTAGTATAGATAATTTTACTTTTAATAATTACTTTACAGGAATCGCTAAATGGAGCCACATCAGACAATTCTATGAACTGGACAATAATAATCCCAATTTTGTTTATGCACCACTCTTAACTAAAGAACACGTTGACCCCAATACCAAGCAAAAAATGAGGGTAAAACTTGCAGCACAAGTTTTAAGCCACTCAGTTGCAGCAGGAATATTTTCCAAAATAGCTAAAGGTAAGAGACATCTTTAATAGTCATGGTCCAACTCATTTATACACACACATCATAATTATTATGCATGATACTTATGCACATTTAACAACAAGTCTTACAAATTCGTTTCAACAGTATGAAAATGTGGGGTTGTCTCTTTAATAAATGGTGAAACTATCTAATAATTATATTGTCATATTATATTGTACTTATATTGATTTAATTTGTTTATTGTGAATTTTCAGGAGACATGCCGACTGGAGCAGTGGCAACGGGTAATTTAATTAAAGACATGGATGAACTGTTTGATGGAGTAAACGCGTCGACATCAGATTTAAGAAGAGGAAAAAAAATCCACAGAACAGAACATTTTTTACATTTTTTTATATTTGTGGAAAAATGATAATCAGGAGATAGTACTATTTGCGGATGACACTTCACTGTTATTTAAACTTAAACGACAGCAATCAGTAACTGATGACGTGATTAGCACTCTCTCTAAGGTTGTAAACTGGTTTAATGTTAATAATTTATTTTTAAACGAGAATAAAACGAAATGTATTAGATTTTTTACACCTAATGTTAAACAGGTAAAGACCAATGTTCTAATAAATGGAAAGGAGTTGAATCTTGTGGACACCACTAAGTTTTTAGGTATAACACTAGACTCTAAATTGCAATGGGGCCCACACATTGACGGATTGTCGAATAGACTTAGCTCTGCAGCATACGCGGTTTACAAAATTCGTCAATTAACCGATGTAGAAACAGCTAGACTGGTGTATTTTAGCTATTTTCATAGTGTAATGTCATACGGTATTTTGTTGTGGGGAAATGCTGCTGACATTCAAAGTATCTTTGTGTTGCAAAAGAGAGCTATTCGTGCAATTTATAATCTTAGTTATAGGCAGTCACTGAGGGATAAGTTTAAAGAAATTGGTATCATGACAGTCGCATCTCAATATATATATGAAAATTTAGTGTATGTAAAGAAAAATAATCATTTATTCACAAAGTTTAGCGACATGCATAAAATAAACACTAGAAATAAAGATAAACTCGTGTTACCAACCACTAGACTACAAAAAGTAAGCAAGTCTTTTCATTGTCAGGGTGTGCGATTTTACAATAAAGTGCCAAGCAAATTCCATGAATTAAGTATTAATAAATTTAAGTCTTTAGTAAAGCTAAAACTATGTGAAAAGGCTTACTACACTATTACAGATTATTTAGCCGACAAATTTGCTTGGGATTGATGCTGCTCACTCCCACATTTACGTAGACATCTTTGTTGTTAAGTTTGAAAGTGATGGACATTTAATTATTATTTTTTGGTGTATTTCGTATTTTGTTTTCGTATTTTATTTTTCGTTGACTTTGAACTGTGTAGTATTTTTTTATTTTTTGTGTAAGTATGTAAATGTGAGTACAGTGTAGGCTTGTAATGTTAATTAATTTTTTATTATCTTTCTGGTGGTTTTGAGTGTTTCCACGGCCTACCCAAATGTCCTGCTGGCGGTAGTGTCATGCTTCGGGTCGTTGATCTTGACCAATATCGGTTAGGCTACACGATGGCTGGAGCCTGTATGCCGTCTGTATGGACAGGTTGACTCAAAACTATGATCCTTTCCTCAAAAGGCCTATCCAGACCCTATACTGTACTCGCACAGTTTTAATTAACTTTGTTTACGGACTTAAAAAAAAAAAGACACCTCTGTGGTTTGTTTCGGTGTTTCTTCCCAGAGTGAGTCTTAGGAAATGCCGGCTCCTTCTATAAAGTCCGACTTGTAAAAATATCTGAAAAGATTTACTTACAGAAATAAATATCATTTCATTTCATTATAGGCTGATTATGCTTTATTTATTATTTTACAACTTGTTTTATTAATGGACTAGTGTAGCTAAATTGGTCAGATCTGTCTACCTTCAACAAAAATAATAAGTATCTCTCTTGTTAACCATTTCTTTATTTATTTTATTAAACTGAAATAATACATATTATATAATCTATACTAATATTATAAAGCTGAAGAGTTTGTTTGTTTGAACGCGCTAATCTCAGGAACTACTGGTCCGATTTCAAAAATTCTTTCAGTGTTAGATAGCCCATTTATCGAGGAAGGCTATAGGCTATATATCATCACGCTAAGACCAATAGGAGCGGAGCACAAATGAAGAATGTTTCAAAAACGGAGAAAATTTATTACTATTGAGAGACGCAGACGAAGTTGCGCTAGTCAGCTAGTATTATGATATATGTCTGTAAAGTGTAAACTTGTGTTTGACCTTGTCTAGGTTTTTGATGTTAAAATTGTATGCAATAGACCATATGGTCGAAGATGCTTGCTGTATTTTCAAATTGTATGTATTATCTCATTTTTAGAATATTATGTTTAATTTGTGTTTAGATTAAGCGACAAATTTTGTGATTAATTATCATTACATACACGCCATGTCAGAGGCCTGTGGGATTCCCAGAGGCGACTTAATAAGCTCTGACACTAGAGGGTGGCCACAACACACGCAAAAAAATTACATACACATACTTGTGAACACCTTTTGTCCCAAATGAATATATAATCCAAAAACACATTTATTCATGTAAAATTAGTATATAGTTGCTTATAATATGAATATCTGATAAATTATAATGAATATTATGCTAAATAAAAAAGTCAAATACTAATGTTTCTTTTATTACACTGTTCCATAAATATTGCTTTCAGCATTTTATGCACAAGTACAGTGTGTTTCTCGATAGTGATGTCGTTTAGATGTCAATTGTTTTTGCTGAGAAATAATTGACCATCTTGATGAACACTATCGAGAAACGCACTGTACTTGTGCATAAAATGCAATACAAAGTATCTGTTTTGAAATTCCCGCCCTAGCTTCTACTGTCTAGTTTTGGTGGGCGGAGCATAGATGGCGCCGGCCGGTAAGGAAAAATTTCCTCATAAAAATAGTATGGAGTCGTTATTCTTCCCCTTTAGGGGTATATATGTTCTGTGATTGTAGTCGGGCGCGCGTCTTGCCAAGAGAGCAACTGTCAAATAATATTGAAATCAAGAATTCAAAATAAAATATCATTTTATCGAAAATTTACATTTACACTTGAATTATTATTGTGCACTGGTGATTGGGAAAGTTAAAATTATCTAGCCTACATGTTGAGGATATAACTAAGCACCATGGACATCAATGAAGGTGAATATCTCATTCAATATAACCTATTTAGTTTCGGCAAACTTGGCGGTAATAAACTCAACGTTTTCTTATTATTTCTGTCTTTCCTTTATAAAAAGATTATAATAATTGTTTGTATTACAGTAAACTATATTTGCAGTTTGTCAGATATTTATATTAATTTATACTAATTGAGGTTATAAAAGTCGGTGAAGTTTGAAAATTTGTTTTTGCTGCTAATTCAGACTAAACAAATCTATGTGATGATAATTCAATACAATTTTATCCAAAATATTTAAAAATATATGTTCAACATTAAATAAAGATAAATCAAATTAAACTGCTCTTTATAGTTAGTAATTAAATTTGCTATAATTATTTAATTTTAATAGTATTATATGTTGTCCATGAGTTGATCATCATGAAGTTTTAATTATAGATTTATAATTAAACCACCCAGTTTCCCGATGTTTATGGTCACGGGCAAGTGACTACTGCCACCCATAGACACATGCTCCTTAAGAGACATAAATGCAGTTCCACCCTTTGAAACGTTTGCCACTGGCACTGGGCCCCCTCCAAGGCCTAGTAAGCGGCACGGGGACCGTTTAAACCACTACGCCACCCGTGCAGTGATAATGTGGAACCACTTTTAGATAGATAAGGCAATAATATAAGAACCTGGTTAAAGCAGTTAGAAAGGGTTTTATTGTAGTTAAAAATACAATAATGTAAGATTTAAAGAATATGTAATCATCATCATCATCATCAACAGCCTTTAATAGTCCACTGCTGCACATAGGCCTCTCCTTAAAATGTAATCAATGCACGAAAAATTGTTGAGGACATGTAAACAGTCAATCATGACTATAGTAACGACAGCCATAGATAGGTTATAGGGAGATATGTAGTCTCTTCACAAATTTAACCGTTGTCTTGAAATATTAACGTTCTCATTTAAGGATATTGACTACCGCTTCCTCAATGACTTCCAAAAGCATTGTATACTATTTTCAATTAGTGACATTTATGTTTTCAGGCACAACAACAGATGACCTATGGACTCCATACAAAGAGCTGGTATCAGTAGTGGAGGGCTACCTGGCACATGAGGGTGGTGGAGCACCGTATGCAGTTCACACATTTGAATCAGTTCTTAGACGGCACAAACAGACATTCTTATCATTGTTTAAAAATCCTGTAAGTTTTTTACTTCTTACTATTTCCTACTTTATTATGAAATGTGAAAGTAAGTTTGTTTGTTACATGTTCACTCCTAACTTACTAAAGCAATTTTAAAAATTATTTCACCAATGGTAAGCTACATTATCAGAGAGTAACAAAGGCTACTTTTTACTGTGACAACCGACAAATACACAACATTTGTATCTATGTGTTTGTGAAGATTACCATAACAAAAACGAAATAATAGTAATAAGATAATAAATTGTTTTTGTTACAGTCAAAAAACCTAACCAACAGAGATGAGATAAAGAGAGGAGTCACAGAGGGTGTTACCCTCCCAAGTATAGGCAGAACAATGTTGTCCAAAGAACTTGTGGATGAGGCTCTTATTATATCAGGTCAGTATGCTTAAAGGTTCATTTCTGTGCATTGCGGCCGATCGCAGCTGCGCGTCATTGGCTGTGTGTGGCTGACTGATAATAGTCAGAGATTCAGACTCAGACTTGACATAGACTCAGACGATAACTTATTGTAGTAGGTAGAATGTAAGGCAGTCCTTGAGACAGACGAACAACTTTGACTGGAGCACGTCGAGAAACACAAAAATACGCAGCCAGTCAGTCTGTCAGACCTCAGAAACGTTGCCTTACATTTACATCAGAGAATAACAATGTAAGGCGACGTTTGTCGCAACGTCCACGCGTGTTAACCGCACGCACACATTTAGATGTTTTGTTTAACACTCAATAAAAACACAATGTTGCATGTACACTTTTTTACTCTGAAATTTTTAAAAAGATATTCTTTTTGTTAACTGTGCTAATGATAATATAGTGTGAACCATCTATGTTGTGTCCGTGTAGTGACGGATTAAGAATACGGAATGTCACTACCCCAATTCATCCCGTGGGTGTCGTAAGACCGGACTAAGGGCGCAAAACAACGCAGGACACCAGCACTGCAAAAAGAAGGAAAACACAAACCCTATACGAACCCGTCTGGCCAGTGTGGTGTAGTAGGCCAAAACCTCCTTTCTAAGGAGAGGCCTAGGTCCAGCAGTGGACTATTAAAGGCTGTTGATGTGATGTGTGATGATCTATGTTGTGAAAGAGATTTGTCTGAACCTGCCAATTTACCTCTACTGACCTGAGTTAATGGCTTCCTAGTAAGTTCTCCCTACTCACGTTTCTGAAGCTGTTCGTTTATTCCTGCTGTCTGCTATGATCTCAAGATAAATAGTACACAAGTGATACATTTAGAATTAACTAGCTGACTCACGCAACTTCGTCTGCGTCTTTTAAAAAGACTAAATTTTCCCCGTTTTTGCAACATTCTTCATCGGTGCTCCTCTCCTATTGGTCTTAGCGTGATGCTATATAGCCTATAGCCTTCGGACCAGTAGTTCCTGAGATTAGCGCGTTCAAACAAACAAACTCTTCAGCTTTATAATATTAGTATAGATTAAATAATGATATACACACATAGTCATAATACAGTACTTTCAAGCACTTTTGTAATAATAATAAATTTTCTTTTTGACAGACATGTACAGTGTGAGTGAGTACTTAGCGCTAGAACTACTACACACCGCACAGCGTCAGTCCCCGCGACACCCTGGCCTACCGAGAGGGCTGGTTGCTATACTACTGTACTATGACGGCCGGCGCGCTCTGGTCCAAGCTTTGAAGGAGCTAGTTATGGCTACAGATGGAGTGTGTTGGTAAGAACATATAAATTACATATTTTAATGTAAAGTTCGGGTTCGGGACAGATTAAGAGTAGAGTGTCACCACCTCTATTCATCCCTTGGGTGTTGTAAGAGCTGACTACAGGTCTGCAGACATATACGAACCTGTCGGACCAGCGTGGTATTGTAGGCCAATACCTCCTTTCTAAGGACAGGCCTATGCCCAGCAGTGGACTAGTAAAGGCTGTTGATCTGATGATGATGTGAATATAAAGTTATTAAAACTGCTTTTTTTAAAAGCTTATGGCAATTATGATTGGTGGTGGGTTCATTGCCCACATGGGACAACACTTAGTGTGATTTGTATCTGTATCTAGTGTGATATATTTGTGTCCGTCTTCTGAGTAATAATATTATTTTCGGACATCTGACACACAACGCCATCTAGTTTCAAACTAAGCAGACCTTGTACTTTTAAAGCTAGATATACTGATAGGATATTTAAATACTTTACTTTTGGAGTTTGAGTTTTGTCTATATACATATGTATTATTGTGTATAGGTAAAAAGTGCCAAAATTTACCTTAATTTTCAACTTTTTTATTTTTCATAATTTTCTCTTGTGCTGTAAGACCTTGCTTTTAACCGAAATTGACAATTCTAGGTCAACCGGAAGTAAGGAAGTAAAGACCCTATAGGTTTTGTGTCGAAAACCTATATGGTAGTTCCCGTTGAACTAGAATCACGAAATTTGGCAAAAAGAAACGTATTAAGATAAATTTTGGTACTTACAAATTTTCGTGAAAATCTACGTAAAATCTGGGTAGGTACGGAACCCTCGGCGCACGAGTTCGACTCGTACCTGATCGGTTTTTTTTGAAAAGAAATAATCTGGGTCTATCATTAATAGGTCAAGCGGCTAATACATTTTTATTTTTACCTATTTTCATTTTTGTTTGCTAGGGCTATAAATGCTCGAGAAGAAATAATATCCTACGTGTCCCGTTACGTGGAACAACTTATATCGGATGGGCTACTGGGAAATGTTCTGGACGCACTCCGGCGATACACGCTGGAAGGAGAGATAGAATTGTTGCAGAACAACCGCGCGCTACCCCCAAGCAGACATCATGCGAGACTTGTTACTACTATTGAATCTACAAGGTATAATAAATCTATTTTATTTAGTGATTATCACTTTTATAAACGAATTGAGTTAGGTTAGACCTGGAAACTTCCAGAGATTGCCTTAGGTATAAAGAAATTATAAATTAAATTATTTACATCCGTAAATGATATAAAATCAATTCAAATCAATTAAATAATACACAAAATAGCATACAAAGTGCTAAAGAAATTCATAAGTAATATTCTTTATTTAATAATAAAAGGCTTAGTAAAATAGTTTTTGTACAATAAAGTTTATTTTAAACGAACTTTAAAATAAAGTTGTATTTTCCGGTCTTAGAGTAGTAAGGGATATAAAAAATAAGTAAATGAATTTTTGTTTTAAGTTTTATTTATACTCAATACAAATAAATAAAATTTAAGTGTCTGTATGTAATGTCAAAATAATAGGTTTTTTTCATGCTCACACAGTTATTTGCACAATACCTATGCCTAAAAACCAGTTTAAATATTTTTTGTCTGTCTCTCTATCTGTCTTTCTGTCTATCTGGACCGATTTTGATAATATTTTAGTACCAAGTAGCTATCTATGTAAGGAGCAACTTAGACTATTTTTTCTCTCAGAAATATTAAATTTTGCCTGGTCCGGGAATCGAACTCACTAAGGCAGCGCTTTTCAAATTCCACGCGAACGAAGTCGCGGGCACCAGCTAGTTGATTAATATTGTTATAATTGTATCATAATAACATTTACAGAAAACTGCTTGCGGGCGTCGTTTTTGCTGCGTCAGCGCAACGTGGTCTCAACAGGGATTTACTACTGAGGCTTATAGCAGAGGTTTGTCTAATACAAATAAACTAATATACAATAAACTCCTTTTTGAGAAACGGTCTACGAACTAGATTCTCTACGAACTTTGAATGCGATAAACTCCTATTTGAGAAAAGGTCTACGGACTAGTTTCACTACGAACTTTGAATGCGATAAACTCCTTTTTGAGAAAAGGTCTACGAACTTTGAATGCGATAAACTCCTTTTTGAGAAAAGGTCTACGAACTAGATTCTCTACGAACTTTGAATGCGATAAACTCCTTTTTGAGAAAAGGTCTACCTACGAACAAGACTCTCTACGAACTTTCAATACGATAAACTCCTTTTTGAGAAAAGGTCTACGGACTAGATTCACTACGAACTTTGAATGCGATAAACTCCTTTTTGAGAAAAGGTCTACGAACAAGACTCTCTACGAACTTTCAATGCGATAAACTCCTTTTTGAGAAAAGGTCTACGGACTAGATTCACTACGAACTTTGAATGCGATAAACTCCTTTTTGAGAAAAGATCTACGAACAAGATTCTCTACGAACTTTGAATGCGATAAACTCCTTTTTGAGAAAAGGTCTACGAACTAGATTCTCTACGAACTTTGAATGCGATGCATTCCTTTTTGATAAAAGGTCTACGACCTAGATTCTCTACGAACTTTGTATGCGGGCGAGGTCTACGCAAGAGTTTATTAACGAATATTTTCAAATTCGATAGGACAAATCTAAACAGTACAACATGTTTTAACAAAACTTACATAGGAGGTCTCAGTCTTCTGCTAATTAAATTTTGCTAGCATTTTTTGTCCATTTCAACGCTTTGTAGTCTGAGAGATAAATTTTATTTTTAATGATGAGATAAAGATATTGCCACGTAGTACAAATTAAAATACAAAGACACTTTTAAAGATGATCATTGCGTTGATTTTTGCTTTTATTGTGTGTGTGTGTGTGTGTGTGTGTGTGTGTGTGTGTGTGTGTGTGTGTGTGTGTGTGTATTCAAACATTTTAATATACTTTCAGCAAACAAGGTCGCCGTCGCAGGGACCAACAGGTGCGCTGGACGAAATTTCACTCGCCTTGCAAATGGCGCTTCTCTATGCGTTAGATCTATCTGTACTACACAGGTCAGTAACACTACTTAGAATATTTTTTTTACAATGGCAACTGTTATGAAGAACTCTTTTTCAGTGTTAGTGACCCTGACTGCTAAACTGGAGGTTGTGGGTTCGATTCCCACCCAGGACAAGTTTGTGTGATGAGCACGGTTTGTTCTGTGTCTGGGTGTAATTTATCTATAATATGTATCTATTTAAAAAATATATATGTATGTTTATCAGCAGTCTGGTTACCATAGTACAGGCTCTGCCTAGATTGGGATCAGACGGCCGTGTGTGAGATGTGTGAGATATATTATATTATTAATGTATATTAAATTATATGTCAATCAAGTATACTACTTTTTCTGATAAAATTACTCTCTATCAGAACTGTACTCAAGGGCCACAATATTGTTTAAAGTTATAGTAACTTTAAACAATATTGTGGCATTTGAAAATTTGGCCAAAAGGATTTGAAAAGAAAAGGTATTGGCTTTCAGTTGTAATTTTTTTAAAGTACAATCACTTAAAAATAATTAAGAATAAAGCCGTCAGGTGAGTTAAGCGGGTATCGTCGGGTTGCCTAAACTGGTATTTCACCATATAGTAACATTTGGTGCAATTTGATTTAATAATCTGGTAACCATTTATACATGTATAATAGATTTAGTGTGCAGGATTTCCAGAATTCAATAGGACAAGGTTATTGGTAATGACCGGATTATATGCATTTGCATATTTAAACCATTCTCAGTGGTAATAGTATATTTTACTTAAGATCTACCCTATAAAATTTTACCTGGACCTTGAATCGAACTCACTAAGGCAGCGCTTTTGGAATTCTACACGAACGAAGTCGTGGACACCAGCTAGTGTTGCATATAATCCATTCTTTAGTTATTAGTGTTCAGAGTGCCATGAGGCATTCTTTGTAATAATATAAAAATAATTTATTTCATTATCCAAATAGGAGAGAAGATGGCGAGGAGTTGGCGAAGAAGCTCCCACTAATCCAAGAGCCAGATTTGATCTCCGTTCTCTTGGATGAATTAGCTGGTACTTCGAGCACAGAAGGAGGTGCACGGGCACTATGCCAGTTGTCCCTAGGTCTGGCACTAGCAGCCCTAAAGCGTGCCCCTCATTCACTACTAAGGCACCATCTCAAATGTGAGCTGTTGGACCAGGATGAGTCACTTGTTGACTCTGCTATTGATGGAAAGGTAAGAGACATTTGTCTGTGATTATAAAAAAAATAGCCCACTAAAATCAAATTACTACTATTACAAAGTCTTATAAATTTGCCTTTAATAGCGTTTTCCTTGAAAAAATACAAATCTTAGAGTTAGAGTGAGATTTCATAGCTTTTAGCGTTAAAAGTTCGTTTAAATTTATTAACTGTTTATTTGTTAATCTACCAGATGACTGTCAAGTCAAATCAGTGTCTTTTTTTAAACGTCAAAACGCTAGACGCGGGACATTTTTGTATGAGATACTATTTCGTGACGTCATACCTAGTTATTGTCAAATCATTTATATTTAACGTGATTTGATTGATTTTGATGATGATTTTTCACATCACATCGACAGCCTATAATAGTCCACTACTGGACTGGACTGTTATAGGCTGTTGATGAAATATTATACAAAAAAAAACGACAAGTTAGAATAATTTATTTTTATACCTTTAAACACATGTATTTTATTTTTCTTAGCAATTTATTTATCAATGTTTTCTTAATTTTAAGGTTTTTGAATACTTAGATGAAGCAATCCTGTCCACTGAGTATGTGGCAAAAGAGGAGTACTATCAACGGCGCATACACACGCTTATCACAGACTTCATAGTGCTCATGCACTCTAAGCTGGTTGAGATGAGAGTCAAGTAAGTTGCCCTTCATTTATCTTAATTTCGTAGTTTTGTGTAAGAAGAATGTTTAAAATATCTAGTAGATTAGCTTTATTAAGGACCAATTTTTTCAGTACATAGAATAAGTAAAATTCAATCCAGTGATGCCAATTAATACCCTTTTGAAATGTGTTTGTATGTCAATGCAGTCTCACTTTTGCAGTGATTTTAATTTACTTTCAGATTAATTCATTAATTAATTAATTATAATTGAGACTTAAGAGGAGAACTGACGTTAGGTACAAGATTAGATTTTTTTTTTAAATCAATTTAATCTAAATATTTGGTGAAGAGAAAATACAAGGCCCTGGAGAGGACCTCGAGTAGTTTTTATCCAATAAATCATCCTTTAAGGGAATGCAAGGGGGGTGGAAGTCTGTAATAGGCATTAATAACCGCTCAATTGATTTATATGAAATTTAGTATGAACATACTTTGATTCTTGAGAGACTACTATTTACCGCTATACGCGACGTTTACGCGGGCGGACCCGCGGGAAAACGCTAGTATAATATAAATCTGATTACGTAATTGTGATGTGCAGAGCGGACGAGGCGGCGCGCGCGGTGCAGATGTACGCGATGGAGGGCGTGGCGGCGCCGGCGGGGGCGGGCGCCGCGCGCTCGCGCCTTGACGCGCTGCTGCGCTGCGTGGAGCGGCTGTACGCGCGCGACCCGCTGCGCCTGCGCAACGACTACTGGCGCGCCTGCCAGCCCGCGCCCGGCACGCGCCCCGGCGGCGGCCGCGCCGCCACGCTCTACAAGTTCGTGCGGCTGTCGGGCGAGGTGCTGTGCGGCGCGCTGCTGGGCCAGTACCTGCGCGCGCTCGCCAGTCTCGCCGTGCCGCGCCACACGTGGGCGCTGCTCGCGCGCCGCGACGCGCTCTCCGCGCACCACCTGCTCACCGCGCTTGCCAGATACCACAGGTATATTCCTTGTACTGACTAGCATTTCTATTTATTCAAACTTATTGTATTAGTAAAAAAATAAAATAATAAATATCACAGATCCTCTCGATTCCAGACCAAGACAAAATAGAAAAAATAGTAGTAGCAAGTAACATGTAAGCGACTGTATAATTTAATTTTTGACGCTTAATTTGAAAAAGACTTAATTTAGTAAAAAAATATTTCAGTTGCAATCATTTATTCCCTTATCTAACTAATAATTGTGTCGTCGGCAGCAACCTCCGCAGCGGCGGGTCCCCGTTCTCCGAGCACTTGCACGCGTCGTCGCTGGGCGCGTCGGCCATCGTGACGCCGGCGGCGCGGCCCGGCAAGCTGCTGGTGCGCCAGGAAGAGGTGGAGGCCATGGTGGCGGCGCTGCGCCTGATCGCCGCCGTGGCGAGGGAGGACGCCACCGCCACCGCCGCCATCTGCGACAACCTGCAGTGGGACGCCGTCAACTGCATGTTCGGTAACTAGCCCACGTGTAATAAACGTCTTACAAAATTAATAAAGTGTTTGTGATGTCATAAAAATAACTTTTTATCGAATACATTTTTCAGTGAAAAAAAGAAATTAGGTTCAGTGTTAAAAATAAAATTATTGCCAAAACTCCAGTGGCCACAGCTAAAAGTATTTTAATAATAAATATTGTTAAGTGCATGCACGGATGGCGTAATGGTTTAAGCAGTCGCCACGCCGCTTCCTACTGCGCCGAGTGTTGTGGGTTCAAACCCCACATGGGATGACACTGTATGATCCACAAATTGTTGTTCTGAGTCTGGTTGTTCTTTGTGTCCGTTTCATGTATGTTTGTAATGTGGGGCGACACAGGATATATTCCTAATGTGGGAGCTCTCTTTTTAAATAACGAATAAAAATAAAAAAAGTAAAGATCTTAAAAAAAAACCTGCTTTGTGAGTACTTAATTATCATGGTACATAATAGGACCTTCTTATCTGGTTATTCATAGCAATGTTACATACGAAGACGTTTGATTCGCTCTTCTGCAATAACCTTCACATATAGATCGATGCGGACATTAAAAGCTATATTGAATTTCACAGGCCTAATCTGCTGTCACGTGCCGCTGGCGCTGAAGGCGGAGCTGTGCACGACGCTGGCGGCGCTGGGCGCCACTCCGGCCACGGCGCCGCGCGTGTGGGCCGCGCTCGAGGCCGCGCAGCTCGTGTCGCACACCAACGACAAGAGGGCGCTCAACGCCGAGCTGCAGGAGGTACGACGCGTATTTATATCCCAAACTAAAGTCCTAACTAATATTATAGTGAGTTTATTTGTTAACCAAAATTTTACAAAAAAAATCTGATGTGACAAAACATATCCTCATTGAATTATTGTTGTCAGTACATATTTGCGGTCGAATCAATTATCGCGCAATTGAAAACATACTTTAGTTAACCAATAATATTACTATAAACTATTAGAATAATTTCAAATCGTCGATCTCAACCAAAATGGTGTCATTAGAACCAGGCGTATCCGAAGAATAAAAAGTATTGGTCCTTCGAGCCGGATTTGCAGACCTAAACTTGCAGATAAATGATCTATACAGAAACAAATATTTCAAAGAAGTTAATAAATAAAAGTAATCGTTGGTAGGTGGAATGTCGCATAGAGGAATACCCTCTGTCCCGTGCGTTCCTGACTCTGCTGGAGTCGCTGTGCAGCGCGGCGCCGTTACCGCGCGCGCTGGGCGCAGGCGCGAGGCCGCCCGGGCTCGACCCCTACGTGGAGCACGTCCTCAATAAGCTCGCGCTACCCGCGCCCCACAGGCCCTACGCCAAGCCCTACGAGAAGTGGCAGGTACGTACATACAATACTTACTATTGACAAAGTATAGGCAAATCTAATGGGTCCTTCGAGCCACATACCATACCTTACATGTCTTGTAAACAATTACCTAGTAATAATAATAAGTAATAATAATAAGTAATAAATATAACTTAGTCATTACTAACTTTTAAACTTTCGCGTTCCATGATAATTAATATTATTTAACGGGAATTAGCGCGATCTCTTATTTAGGGTATTACATACCTCTGGTTTGCCTGACGTTTCGACCAGGTTACACCGGCCGTGGTCACAGGTTGACTCCTGCCTGTGACCACGGCCGGTGCAACCTGGTTACCCGTAACCCTAATGGTTGAGTTATAATATATAATATTCTAAATGCCTTACTTTGCCTTTGGAAATCAGGATAGCACTCAGCCGCCTCTCATTTAAGACGAAAGTCCGAGCTCGAATTCTTAACACTCAAGCAGATTCATCACATCCCTAAAGTTTTATATAGTGTATTATATGTATATATATTTATGTATGTATGTAACTCAGCAAGTATATATGTATGTATATATATCTTTCACACTGGTTCTGTCCATATCCTTAATTATTATTAACTCGTTATATATAAAATTTAATTTCTAGTGCACCTACTCAGTACACCCACCACCCAAAGGTAGACTGTGAGAAAATGCCTGTGGCATTAAGTCCGCCATTGTGCAGTGAATTGTTGTTTGTGCAAAAAGAATTAAATAAATAAATATATTATTATGATTATACCATCCGATTGATAAATGTGAACTGAATCTAATTAGTCCACACCTCACATCAGTCAATTTGCTGACAGACCCATATGTACTAAAATAGAAAGCCACATTTACTCATCCCTGAAAATGCCCTACGAAATATTTAATGCACTGGTACAAAAGGGTACTATGTACTAGAATATATAGAATTATAAAATATTCATAAATAATAAATGAAAATTTAAAAATAAATTAATATTTTTTTACAGATGCTGTCTCTCTGCTTCCGTTTGTTCGCTCGCTGGTTAGACCAGTACGAGCCTTGTCCATCGGACTTCCCACCAGTGGGACGCGAGTCAGACTCAAACCCACCACCTGGATTCAGACTACTGCTACAAATACACACTAAGTCGGAGTTGCTGCGGTTGTTGTTGGCATCGTTGGAGGAAGCGCTTGAATTGCTGGACAGACACCCACCATTCGGCAAGGTAAAGTTGTAATAACAAATTAAATAATAATACCTACGCGGGTGACTTGCGCTGGTACTTCACGCTCGAGTCGCTGGACCCGCATAGTCCAGCAAGACCGATTCAGCTTGCATCGTGTAAAAGCACCCTAAGCCCCTCCTAATTGCGATAGAGATTGAGAGTTTTTTTTTTTTATATATATGTTAGAGGTGGCAGACAAGCAGACGGGTCACCTGATGGAAAGTGACCATCGCCGCCCATGAACGTCTGCAACTCAGGAGTCACAAACGCGTTGCCGCTCTTTTAGGAAGGAGCACGCTCTTTTCTTAAAGGTTTGAAGGTCGTATCGGTCCGGCAATACCGCAGACGATAACCCGTTCCACAGATTGGTTGTGCCGGGCTAGAAGTGTCTCGAAAAGCGCACAGTAGTGGAGCGCTAACTATCCAGATGATGATAATGAAAATTTTGCCGTGTGGAGCGATAGCGGAAAGTTGCAGCCAGTATTAGTCCAAACATTAAAAATATATGGTGTTTGTTTGCTTCATTAGAATGGTCTCATAATTTTTTTTTAAATATATATTTCTTTTTATATACAGAGGTGTCGGTAACTGTAACAGTGTCGCGAGTTTGATGGTTTTTCCCCATCTCAAAAAATACATTCTTTTGTTTGTTGTTCAAAAATGCCCTGAAGAAGTTTTCACTTCAATAATCTTTGATGCGTTTGTATATAATAATAATAATAATAACGTTATTTAAAGTAAAGATTTACAAAATTTGTTTAACAATGATAGCCACACTAGGCTTAGCCTGTATCGAGGCTATCAATACAAAAACGATTATACATTAGGACAGTAGCAATAATATTAGAATCTTTTATAAATCTCATATGAAACAATAGGAAGAGATCGCAGTTTACTACAATCTTTATTTATTTAATTGACTAAGTATAACTTGGAGCTATGTGAGTGTGTGTGATAGTTTGTGAGCCTGTGTGTGTTTGTGTGTACATGTCTAAGTATGTGTATTCGTCTGTCTATCAGTTTTCATTCTTATTTTAAGATTTTTAGCAATTGTTCGGTTTCTTTATGGTTAAGAAAGCTCATGATTTTACTGAATCGTGTCAAACTTTGAGCTTAATCGGTGTACGCTTTATTAACTTTTGAGTTATTAAAGCGTACACAAAGTAATTTTTTTTTTAATTAATATAATATAGTATATTGAGTACTGTGTTAACGAAAAGCTTATTTATGAGTTACGTATGTTTATTCACGCTCTATAGCGTAGTACAAACCATATTAGTTCGAATCTAGAAAGTGCTGTGTAATATGGGGTTTTTAATGAAATATCTATCAACATATAGAATCCTTCTAAATAATAATAAATTGTTCCAGACGTATGTGGAACAAACCCTGGTGAGTGCACTGCAGATCCTGGAGAGGGCCCTGGCTTTGGAGCGACCGCTGCAGGCTGCCGCCAATGAAGCCAAGAGCGCGTTGCTTAACGAAGGCCTTTCTAAGCTCATATTAGGTATGGTTTAAGTTCTATTATGTTGATTTTCTTCAGATATTGAAATCAAATTTAAGTAACATTAGTAAAAAGGTGTGTTGTTATTATTTGAGCGTACTTCAATATAATAAATTTTCAAGCTTATTTTGCTCTGTGCTGTGAAGAGTACCCATGTGACATATTGTCAGAATATATTCAAAAACCTAGCATATGTTATTGTTCTACTTAAAAGTTTTTCTTTTCAAAATATTTCTTTGGTTATGTGTTCAAATCATCATTTAATGTGCACGAGTGAGTTATGTTTCTTTTAAATAAATAGCTATAGGTTGTATGGGGAAAGAAATGTTTCGTTTTAATTTTTTTTCCTTGCAAGTTTTACAAGCACTTGAGGTCATTCTCGAGTGATCCTAATAATCGAGTCATTCTTGTGTTGCGCCTGAGCAACACACTTGGCAATTAATTTTTATTTATAAAGATTAAATATCTTCGTAAGAGCCGACTAAGGGATCAAACTGCACAGGACAACAGAAACAAGCCTTATACTAACCCGTCTGGCCAGCGTGGTATAGTAGGCCAAAACCTCCTTTCTAAGGAGAGGCCTGTGTCCAGCAGTGGACTGTTATAGGCTGTCGATGATGATGAAATATATATAGATGTTAAGTTAATAATATATATCTGTACGTGTGTGTCAGCCCCCTCGGGGCGCGACAACCAGTGCCGGCTGGTGTGGTGCTGCGCGGTGCTGCAGCACGTGGCGGCGCTGCCGGCGGCGGCGGCGCGCGCCGTGGCGCTGCTCAACCGCGCGCTGCACGCGCCCACCGCCGCGCGCCACCTGCTCGCCTCCATCACGCACAAGCAGGTGCTCTCCGACATCAGGTCACCATCACCACCTATTCCGCTTTTTACTCGTTGCTTTATCCGTGTGGTGACGGATTAAGAATACCGTGGCACCCCTATTCATACCGTGGGTACTAGGGCTAAACACAGAATTGCGATGAGAAGGAAAACTTGACACAAACCCTGTACCGACCTGTCTGGCCAGTGTGGTACAGTAGGCATGTCCGACGGTAGACTATTGGCATTGTTGGGAGCCGTTGATGATGATGAATTTTTAGTTAATATAACTCGAATAATCTTCTTCTAATTGCAAAAGAGTGGCCATGAGTTTGTTTGCCCTTTCCTCTCACAAGGCTCAACCCCTCGGAAACGGGCGGTTGTAGATCGGCCCAGGCATATCATAGATTTTGTATGGGTTTGATTTTTGTTAAATTTATTTACTTACTATTTAACAAAACAGAGATTGTTGCTTTTGTGTGTGTTGATCTATGACTTTAGAGTCTACATAAAAGACGATTTCAACAAAGAATTTTCAAAATTTTATGAAATAAATAGAGTTTGAGTTTGGTCGTCGTTGGAGTCGACTTTTCAATCGTACGACATTGTTTGTGTGAGAGCCATGCTTGAGCACAAGTTGTCAAGCAATTCTCACTACCTCTGTGATGCAGTGGTAGCGTATGTGACTGCTGTGCTGAAGTCTTGAGTTCGATTCACGAGTCAGACCAAATGTTTGTATGATCTGCAAATATTTGTTTCGGAGTTTAGGTGTTTTCCATATAAAATGTATTTACAAAAAAAAAGTATGTGCGTATTGTTTTGTATTGTTGTATTGTATTGTATCAGTCGATCTAGCTTTCATAGTACAAGCTCTGCTTAATTTGAAACTAGATGGCGTTGTGTGCAAGCTGTCCAAAAATTATTATTATTATTAATTATTTCGTTTCTTTTCACCGAGTGAATGAAATTACCGGAGACCAATCTCCCCCACCCTATGCTCCCCTTTCCTCCCCTTCATTATAGGATTTTAGGGGAAATATGATATAGTTTATATAACGCACTTATTGCTCTTGAGTTGCAGGACTTGTAGGTGTCCACAGGCGGTGGTAGTCGCTTACCATCAGGCTACTTATCTGCTTGTTTGCCACCTCCCCCCCATACCATAAAAAACCTTTTATTTCGTTTTTCTATTGTATTTTTTTCACATGCTCATTTATTCAAAGTAAATGTCCATACCACCCGAGCCTAGACTCCTGTGCTTTGTCAGTATATTAGCAATATTGAAGCTTCTACCAATTTTTTATATATTTTTTTTATTCTACCACATTCACACACCATCACCTAGTCATAAACTAAGCAGAGCTTGTACTATGGGTACTAGACAACTGACAAATACATACATATATATATTTTTTTTGTAAATACACACATATTATACATAGAAACACCCAGACCCAATCAAACATTAAATGTTTATCCACACAAATGTTTGACTTGAGCGAGAATCGAACCCGCGAGCTTGGGAATAGCAGTCTGTAACACAAACCACTACGCCATCCGGTCGTCATATATAATTGTTTGGTATAGATACGGCTTCGTCGAGTGTCTAGAAGCTGAAGAGTGGCCACAGCAACACGAAGGCGAAGGTTCCGAGGAGGTGAATCCAGTGCGACAGGCCAAAGAAGGGATCGTGTCTCTGCTGCTGCACGTGCTGCCTTCTGCGCCGCCCAACCTCGCGCATCTGCTGCTCGGCTACCAACTGTCTGATGATGTTAGTGGCCTAGTTTTTTTTTTCATTTACCCCAGTTATATTTGACTTTATACAGACGAGACAATAGTACCCTATTGACACCTAAGTCAAATTAGTTAGTTTTTATCATGTATCAAAACGACGATTTTGTTTGAAAAATGTACTAAATAGCAACTTATGACATCACTTGTAGACTACTCAATTGAAGAATATATTTGTTTGATTTAAATTCCTAATAGTTATAAAAATCTAAAATAATTATATATTTTTTGTGACGTTTGACGTTTTAATGACAGCAGCAGACATTGTTTTTATGTGAGATGTGTGAGATATTCTATATTATATTATTATTTATGATACAGTCAACTACCCTATGGTTGTAATATATACACCTATAAACTAATCCGCTTTGTTTTATATTCCTACCTAACTTTAATACTAATCTCAACAAAACTATTTTCGTTTTACATATTTAAATAGACACATTATATTAGAGAAATTTATATCATTAAAAGTATTAACGCTAGGTATTGTTATAGGTGAGTCGAAGCAACCTGAGCGAGGCCGGCGCGGGCGGGTACCCGCGCACGTGTCTTCACTCCATACTCGACATACTGGACCAGCATATCGCGTCTAATAACTCGCAAAGGTACATAGTACTGATTAATATTTTGTCAAAATTCAGTTCCCATAAATATTGTTGAGCGCCATCTAGCGCAAATCAGTCAAACTACGTGCTAACGACTGATCCCACATCGTGTAAAAACAAAACCATGAATGTATACCTTCTTAACATGTACTATAATAATTTAACCTGTAGTACATTCGTGTTAAGAAAAATAATGACTCATCGATTAAGCCTGAACATTGACCAATCAGGTTCCAAGCTTTCGCACGATACGATAATTTATTGGTCCCGATTGGTCAGGGGCGGGGATTGATCGATGCGTCACTATTTTCTTAACACGAATAGGCTATTTGTTTGTAAGCTTTTATGTTAAAAATACAAAAGTCGTTTTTGTACGAGCGCAAAGTATAAATATTTACATTTCTTATAATTTTCTTAAATATGTTCTTTCTGCTTAACAGAGAGGCGAACAATTTAATAGAGAGCTGCTATCGTCTGGTGTACTGGTTGTGTGCGCGGCCCAACACATCAGCACCAATGCTTCGGTTCCTAAGAACCAGAGACTATTTCCTGTCGAGACATGTGAAGGCCAGCGTTGATCTTAAAGTAAGTACTTGATACCTAAAATATGACAGACTAGCTGACCCGCGCAACTTCGTCTGCGTCTCTCAATAGTAATAAATTTTCTCCGTTTTTGAAACATTCTTCATTGGTGCTCCGCTCGTATTGGTCTTAGCGTGATGATATATAGCCTATAGCCTTCCTCGATAAATGGGCTATCTAACACTGAAAGAATTTTTCAAATCGGACTAGTAGTTCCTGAGATTAGCGCGTTCAAACAAACAAACAAACAAACTCTTCAGGTTTATAATATTAGTATAGAAAAGAAAGAGAAAAACAATTTCACGGAGTGTAATTTAGTTTTATGACTGAAAGTTATATCCTATTTATATATTTGTATCTTATCTATTTAATATTTGGGACTGGTTTTAACTAGACTTGCAACGAATAGTATATTCGGCAGTATACCGAATACCGAATATTCGGCAAGGCCCCTGACCGAATAGCCGAATATTAGGCAAAAGTATTCGGCTGGATTTTAACGCCAAAAACTTGTACAGACGTGACTTAAATTATGCACCTGTTTTATGTACCAATGACTACTTAATAAATGATTATAAAAGAAATGAGAACCTTACCCTTCTAAATTTTGATTACCACAATAATTCAAATACATAGAATCCTCAATTTTTCCAATTCAGAAGATGATTATGTACCTGTGTTATGCACCAATGACTACTTAAATGATTATAACAGAAATGAAAATATGAATATATACGTAATCAATCGATTTTAATTTTTCATTTTACCAATTATTTCTCAATGACAAAATATATTATTTAAGTATTCGGTATTCGGCCGAATAATATGTAGATATTCGGTATTCGGCCGAATATAATAAGAGCAGCCGAATAGGCCGAATACCGAATAGTAACCGAATATTCGTTGCAAGTCTAGTTTTAACCATATCACAAACAAGTCTAGCTAGTCTCAGCATCAACATTTTTGTCTGGGTATCTGTGCGTTGAATGGTACATTAGAAGTTTAGTTAGTAATTAGTATATTATAAGTAAAATAACTTCAGAGGGCCAAGTGCAAGTTGATTTCACATGAACACGCCCTCGACAGCGTGCGCGTTTGGCGTTGCGATTGGTGAAGATTTTAGTGCGGGCCAATCGCATCATCGTGACGATCGAGTAGATTTGAAATAAACTCACACTTGGGCCTCAGATAAGTTGATTTAGATATGAAAGAAAGAAAGAAAATACGTTTATTAGTCACAACACAAACACAGCCAAAAAAGGAATTACAGATATAACATAGAAGAGAAAAAGAAAAGAAACAATTTGCTCAACTGAAGAATAGCACAAACAATAACAAAAACAATCAAGTACAAAAGAATAAAATGATCACTGTGTGTGACTAAAGGGCCACAACTCAGCCTATGCTATAGTCCCTAAAAGTGACCACAGCGCTGATTTTCAGCTGAAGCCCAAAGGTACCTCACGGACGTGTGCACAGTTCAATTACAATAAACAATATGTGAATACAATAAACATACAAATAAAAGTGATAATTACATACATTAATTACATAACATACATTCTGTTAATATAATAAAGATATAAAATAACTAGTTGGAAATTGATAGATATAAGAGCAGAGAACAATTTATTTTTATTTATTAAATAATGTTAGCAACATTGCGAGGACTAATTCTACATATGCTTTTTTATATAACACAGAGTGCGTCGGTAGTGACGCTGTCGTCCCGCTCGTGGGTGCTGCGGGCGTGCGCGTGCGAGGCGGGCGCGGCGGCCGCCACGCGACAGCACGCGGCGCTCTCCGCGCTCCTTGTGGCCCTCACGCACACCGCTCATCATCCCACACAGGTAAACCTTCTCCGCCTGCTAACGTGCACGTACGTGTGGGTGTACGTTACCTTACACGTACGATCGTGTTCAATTAACTACTGTATTTGTACGCCTCGTTGCAAATGCCACATGACATCAACAGCCTATAATAGTCCACTGCTTGAAATAAGCCTCTCCTTAAAAAGGAAGTTTTGGCCTACTATACCACGCTAGCCAGACGGGTTGGTATAGGGTTTGTGTCAAGTTTTCCTTCTCTCTGCAGTGCTGTTGTTCTGCATAGTTTTCTCCCTTAGTCGGCTCTTACGACACCCACGGGATTAATAGGGGTGGTGGGCTCTGTATCCCTAATCCGTCACCACACGGAAATACCAATGTTATACAATCAATTGTATAATCATTATCATCAAAAATCATTTTCATCTTATAAATATATAACAAAAATGGAATGGGTTATTTACAAAGCTATTTTAAACAGTACAGAATTATTCCTTTGCATTTAAATACGTTAAATACGTAGTTCCTTTTTTCTTTAAAAAGACAATTCCCGCATTAGGAATGTATCCTGTGTCGCGGGGGACTTTACAAACATACATGAAACGGATACAAAGAACACCCAGACTCAGAACAATAATTTGTGGATCACACAAACCCACAACACTCAGCGTAGTAGGAAGCGGCATGGCGACCGCTTAAACCACTACGCCACCCGTGCAGTAATGCATTTAATGTACATCAAAATTGCTCTTGACAGCATATCATTACATATACCATTATTGTTTAATATTCACTCCTTGCACTCCTTCAAGTTTAATGAAATCTCGTCCCATTTTGTGATATATAAGTTATTTTATCCAAATTAATTTGTTCAGGAGTGGGAGTGGTGTTTACTGCGGAGGACGTTGGAGGAGCTGCCGGTGAGCGTAGAGCCAGCTATAGAACCACGCTGGGAATTATTTCACCCGACTCAGCTGCGACAAGCCCTCGCTTCTTGTGACTTACCCACTGGTAGGAGTCTTTATATTCGTTGTTTATAATTGTCAATTTGAGCGGAAGCCAAATTAAATATGTGCTATTTTTTTATGGTATAAGGGAGCAAACGAGCAGACAAATCACCTGATGGTAAGCAACTACCGTCGCCCAAGGACACCTACAACTCAAACGTCACAAGTGCGTTGACGCCCGTCAGCGGGAGGGGGGCTTTGGGCTCCGGTAACCTCACTCACTCAGTGAAAGGCAACGAAAGAATTGCTTAACACCGGTTTTCTGTGAGGCCGTGGTATCACTCCGGTCGAGCTGGCCCATTCGTGCCGAAGCATGGCTCTCCCACGGTATAATAATAAATAACATAATATTCGACCACATCCACACTATGCCATCTAGTCTCAAACTAAGCAGAGCTTGTACTATGGGTACTAGACTCATGATAAATATATAAATACTTTTTTTTTGTAAATATTAGGTCCTTGCACATGAAATTGGCGTTTTGTACGGGTGAAATATAAAGCCAGTTTTTTTTTGTAAAATATATTTAATTAATCAAAGTATGCACCGTTGTTATCTATGCACTTTTGCCATCACATAGGTAGTTCATTGATCCCTTTACTAAAAAACCATGGGATCGAGAATCAATAAACTCTTTGAAGGCGGTTTGGACTGCCGCATCGGAGTTGAATTTTTTTCCTTGTAAGAAGTTGTCCAAATTCCGGAAAAAATGGTGATCTGTTGGAGCAAGGTCCGGAGAGTACGGTGGAAGTCGCAGACATTCCAATTGCAGCTCATCTAACTTAGTGGTTGTTTGTTGTGCAGTATTTGGTCTTGCGTTGTCGTGAAGCAGCAGTGGCCAAGAGCGATTGACCAATCTCGGTTGTTTAGCAGCTAGTTCTTCGTTCATGGTATGCAATTGCTGACAATAGATATCTGCCGTAATCGATTGGCCAGATTTTAGAAAGCTGTAGTGAAGGAGGATGAGATATTTCAGATCAAAGTGGTCAGTACGACAAAACGCTAATTTCATATGTAAGGACCTAATACATACATAGAAACACCCAGACTAAATCAAGCATTAAATGTTCATGCACACAAATGTTTGGCTTGAGCGAGAATCGAACCCTCGACCTTTGGAATAGCAGTCCGTTACGCAAACCACTACGCCATCCGGTCGTCTATTATCATTTTGTTCTTATCCATTTAAGGAAAGGTGCAACCATTGTGGAAGTTACTTTTTACAGGTTATACATTGCGTTAGCTACATGCCCATATCCAAAGCTGCCAGAAATGGTGATTGATTTGGCCAGGAGTTGCCAAAAACAATCACCATTTCTGACATCCTGTTGTACATACGTCAAAAATACTTCGCGAATTGAATTATTGCATGACATGTTACTTCAATAGTTGATTGTTTGTCCTATGCTTGTGCTATGCCCAGGTCTGGGCGGCAAGCGTATCAGCGTGTCGCGAGTGCACGCCCTGCTCACGCGAGAGCTGGCCTCGCTGCGAGCCTCCGCGCCGCAAGCCACGCGCGTCGCCAATGAAATACAGAAGGTACCACACGCTTACTTATATAAGTAAGATATATTACTACGCTAGTTATTGACATACTAGCTTTTGCCCTTGAAGCCGTAGAATATAGATTTTGACAAAATTCCTTCATAAAAAAACTTGTAAAAGAAAGCATTCACAAATATCACGGTGTTTAGACATTAAAAACTAGACATTAATAATAATATAATAATAAATAAAATAAAAATAAAATAAAATATATCTCACACATCTCACACACGGCCGTCTGATCCCAAACTAGGCAGAGCCTGTACTATGGTAACCAGACTGCTGATAAACATACTTATATATACATACATAATATAGATAAATTACACCCAGACACAGAACAAATGACCGTGCTCATGACCGACCGACCACCGACCGACCGACCGACCACAAAATGTGGGTGGGAATCGAACCCACGACCTCCGGCTTTGCAGTCAGGGTCACTAACCACCAGATCAAGAGGCCCGAGGCAAACATATAACGAGTAGATGTTTTTTTAAACATGGGAACGATACTGACGATTTAGTCACAGATGGTAGACGCCTTTCCAAAAGAAACCTATTTCCTCTACTCTTGAACATTCATTTTAAAAGCTTCAAATTGGTATTTACCTGAACCATCTCAAAAGTAACTGCAGTACTCTAACCTAAAGGGTGTTGGTGTAAGTTTATTTCACATTAACTCCCTCTCGACGGTGAGCGCGTTTGGCGTTGCCATTGGTCAGTGTAGACCAATCGCAGCGCTGAACATTTAAGCAAGCGAAGGATGTCACCAAAAGAAGCAACATTAGAAATCCAAATAGACTTGTGTTGGACATGGTACCTAGGTCGAAAAGAATTCAAAAAAATTGTTACGCGATGTGCATTAAAATCTTCAATAAAATCCCAGAACGATTTAAAGAACTACCATTAAATAAGTTCATTCCAGCCCTGAAAGATTGGTTAATTATAAATACATTTTATTCGGTCAAAGACTTTTTGAATGGTGGAGAGTAGTAGGTATAATTAATAAAAGTGAAATTATAATCAATACACAAACACTGATGAATAATGATGATAATAATAATAATAATAATATATAATAATGTTAAATTAATAATAATAATAATGTTAAATTTGCATGCTATCTTTATGGCTAAATGGGCCTGATCGCAATATATTGAACCTTTAATACCACAACATGTACCACCCCATTTATAGCAAATATATAATTTGAATTTGAATTTGAATGCGTTTACGGTGACAATCGACTTGAACTGAAATAAACTCGAACTAGGGCCTAAGAATCAAATTTAATGTAAATAAAATTGTATGTAATTTTTCTCAGGTCCTAGACTACGTAACAGAAGTGAACCGACAGCGCAACTTAGCGGCTACTCTGACCCACTACTACGACTCGTGGCGACAGCTTACCGAGATCATCTTCTGTGTCGCCCCTCACGACATTCTCAACCTCGAATCTAGAAAGAACTTGCTTCTAAACATACTCCAGGACTTACTCAACAAGATCCCACCGGGCGAGGTTCTACCACAACTGGGAAACCTCGCTTCAGGAACAGTATTACTCCTTCTAGTCAACCTAAGACATTGCTACATACTACAAAAAAGAGATTCTAATTTGAAGACATCAGAATTTGAAATGAGCTTCTTCGGACCTACGAACCAAGTGATGCAAACGAATTCTTTGACCTTAAAGTTTATATTACATAAAATATTAAGCTGGATTTTGGTTTCCGGAGGCTCTACACAGAAAATGAGAGTTAACTTATATGGGGCATTATTAAATTACTTAAATATAGTGAATTTAAAGTCAAGCCCAGCTGATCCTGAAGAGGATAGTGTGAATACGACTTATGTGAGCAGGTTGGACAGTTCTAAAGTGCGCGATTCCACTGCGAGGGAGGAATCCGCTTTGAAATCAATGGTGATTGATGTGATAAGTGATTTTGGTGATAACTTGTGTTCGATAGTGTGCGGGGATTGTATCGGTGCTGGCCATGACGTGTGCCGTATGGTCGCTCTGGCGTGTTTGGACACATTGATAGAAATAAATCCTCGGACGGACTGGATGAACACGCTGACCAATCAGGGGTACTTAAGGAGTCTTATTGATAGTTTATTACAAGATGATGAGGGATTGAAAGAGGTGAGTGTCTAATACATATTTAAATGAGCTTGTGTCCACTACTAACGAATTGCTTGGTTTATAGTTTCAAATTATAAATGAAGAGACATCAATAAGAAAAAACCAGTCTGTTTCTCATAAAAATTAAAGATTATTAATATTTTTTTTAAATTAATTCGAACAAAATAGGCATTAAGTCACATGACAGCTAGCTTATTATAAAGAAATACGATTGTATTTATTTTTGTTTTGATTTTATCCGAAAATGAACGTTGTCTTGACTGTGCAACAATTTGTATTGCACTTTTTTTAATATTTACCATGTCCTCTTATTGTATTTAATGTTTATTTCAAATCCTAATTTAGTTCATGTTGTTATAATTAATACATTCATTAAAATCATAATCTCTATTTAAAATATATCTCTATATTAAAGTCTAAATATCGTAGACATTAAGTATAGAAAAGAAAAACAGCGCATGTGAGATGACCACTGTTTGTTGCAGAGCCTAGAGCCCAACCCGTCGTCGCTGCGCGTGCTGTACGTGTACGAGTCGAAGATGGGGCTGCTGATCAAGATGGCGGGCTGGCGCGCCGGCGCCGAGACGCTCCTGGCGCAGGGCGCGCTGGGCTGTCTCGCGTCGCTCACGGCGCTGTCGGCGCACCCCGACATCCACACGGGCTACGCGCGCCACCCCGACACCGACTTCGTGCCCTCCGTCGCCAACAGGTACCGACCGAATGCTGCGCCTTTCTCATAGTGCAGGTGAATACTGCACGGATGTGGTTTGAGCGGTCGCCACGCCGCTTCCTACTACACCGAGTGTTGTGGGTTCAAATCCAACATGCGACGACACTTTGTGTGATTCACAAATTGTTGTTCTAAGTCTCGGTGTTCTGTGTTCTGTCCCCCGAGACACAGGATATATTCCTAATGCGGGAGATGTCCAAAAAAAAAAAGCTATTCTATCTCTGACACAATGAGAAGTGCATTCTGATAGCACAATTCCGAGATAATTAATTCGAAGTCATCTCTGTCTATCCATACTGAAACCTTCAGGGTTAACTTCCTTCAGAACAATGATTTGGGTCACATAATTACTAGTAATTTTGACCTACTGTTGCAATAATGTGGACAAAACTACATTTAAAAAAAAAACTAGGCTAAAGAAACTGTTTAATTTATATTCCCTAATACTTATAAAATACATCTAGATATTATATTTCCTGACTGTCTGTCAAGAGCAAATTGGAGATAATTCTGTAGCTTTAAATATTTTTAAGATAGTTCATAAATATTATGCAGGTTCCGTCAGATCCTGGTGCCGGCTCTAGCGCTGTGTGACGCGCTGCTGACGACGCTGGGCGGCCACAACCACAGCTGCGTGCTCCACGTGCACCACGCGCTCCTCAGCCACGTCGAGTGCATCGACATGGTGCTCAGGTAAGCTGTTCATTCCATGGATTCTACTAGTAACTGTTTAGTAACAAATACTACCAGCAGGGTATGCCACGTTACTGTAAATACACATAATTGTTACCCTAATGAAACCTATTTGTGATTGTACTTTATGAAATAAGTGCCCGCCCTATTTATGGTTGATACTATGTAAAATTTTATATGATTTTGGCATTATTAAAATATTAATTATTATCCTTATATAACGGTATCGATTGGAACGTCAGAGCGGCGCACCCGAACTCGCCCGAGGAGCTGCTGACGGAGGTGGAGGCGATCACGTCGGTGGTGGGGCGCGCGGCCAACCGCGAGGTGTTCGGCGCGGCGGCGGCCAGCGAGCCCACGGCGCTGGCGGCGGGCGCGGCCGCGGCGCAGCGCGTGCGCATGCTCATGTTGGCGCTGCTGGCGCGCTTCCACCGCCCCGCCGTCGAGCTGCCCGACCACACGCAGAACAATCTGCTCTACTATAAGGTGCGCAAGCTGCTTGTGCTCTTGTCCATACATACAGGGTGTAAGAGACGTCGTAACGAATACTAAAATAGTGTATTCTGACCATGATTCGGAGTCGAAAATCGTTGGTATTTTCTGCCGAAAAATTCATAATTTTTTATTTCATTTTTCTTGGTTAAAAATGATATTACAATGAGTAAACAGAACATTTCACCGAAAACAAATTAATGAATATCACATATAGTCAATAACTGCAATGTAATTAATCAAACAGCCGAAGCGCGCGGGCCTCCCCTCAAGGCCGCCAGCTTGTGTTCGTGTGCATACTGTTTGTATGGAACACACATGTAGTTATTACTTTTGTAAGATACCTACTGGTCTGATTGCATAAAAGGTTTAATTTTCCGGCAGAATATTCGAACGATTTTCGACTCAGAATGATGGTCTGAATACACTATTTCAGTATTCGTTACGATATCCCTTACACCGTGTATATATTTTTACACCATATATCAATAAAGTATAACAATTATATCTTTTACTTAAAATTAGTATAAAAATACACACTACATATTTTTTGTCTTATTAATCCTCAGATCGTATGCAACTTGCTGACGTACGCCCGCAACATAATGTGCGACAGCTCCGGGCGGGCGACGGAGAGCATCCCCGTGGAGGGCGGCGCGGTGAGCCGGCTGCTGGCGCTGCTGCAGCACCTGGTGCGCGCGCACCTGCACCACGACAAGCTGCGCGCCACCTCGCACCACCACCTGCACAAGCTGCCCACCTGCAGCCTCGACGGTGGGGATACTTGCCTTTCTCTATCTCATTTTTATATTATATTATAAATTCTACTTGTGGTTTCTAATATACCAATATTTAGATGAAAGTAGCCCACTCTTTGCTGTTTTCACTAGCCGAACTAACGTCGGTGTCGATAATTATCATACATTTTTTTAATAAATATAGATATATTTACTTTTTCATATAGTAGTTATAGACTTTCACTGTTACAGAAGCTATCTGAGATCGAATAAATCTAAAGTCAAAGAAATGATTAATTAGGCTCAAATTTATAATTAGGCAGAGTATATTTTAATAATATTGTTGTTGTTCGTGAGATATTTGTTTAGAAAAGTTTTCTTGTGTTAATAATTGTTTAGTCTTATTGCTTTCGTCATAATACACGGCGATGGTGTGAACAATTAATGTTATCGTGTGCGCAAGACTGCGTGTTGTAACGAGTCCCGCAATTTTATTTTGAAAAGTGAGAATATTAGGTTCTGTGTGTAGTCTAATGTAGAACTGAGTGAATTATCAGTTTTTTAATTTTATTGGGTTATCGGTATCAACATCCGTGCCGTGAGTGACCTTCACAGCCGCGGAATATCCTGCCATGATGTTAATTTATGGGAAACTCTATTAAAACGTATCCTTAGCTTTACGGACAGGTATGGAGTCGATCGTGTATGCCCTACAGACTGCCGAATTTTTGTAAGGGCGGTATAAAGATTACGAGACAACCGAAGTACCTACTTTTTCAAGGAGTGACACGTACCGCCGGCTCGTCGCGGCGGCGGCGTCGCTTTGATGTCTCCAATATTGCGACGCTGCCGTGTACAGTTCATCGACTTATGTTATCAATGGTGTTTTAATTCGGCAATTATTTTCTGCTTCACTTTAATCGCGATCACTCGGTAATCGGTAGTACAGCGAGTCGCGTTCCCCAGACATGCGCAAGCTGATCGGGTCGGAGGGCGCGGGGCTGTCGCCGCTGGAGACGCGCGCGCGCGCCCTGAGCGCGGCGGCTCGGCGCGCGCGCACGCGGCGCCTGGAGCTGCGCGCCGTGGGGCACGCGCTGGGCGCGGCGCTGCAGCTGGTGTGGGCGCACGCGCGCCTGCAGCTGCGCCCCGCGCCGCCGCGCGACCCGGCCGAGCCGCTGCACGCGGCCTCGTGGCGCAACCGCGACGACCTGCCCGACCTAAGGGACGACCTGCTCGCCGTCTTCAACGACAAGTTCACCGACCAGCTGCTCGACACCGCCAAGGTCAGTGCACGCCTATTGTACGTCCACGGTTCAAAGAGTGCCGTCAAAAGTGACAACTTAAATATTTAAAAAAAAAATAACAGAAATAAAAATGATTTTTTAGATACTTATATACAGAGGCAAGTTTAATAATTTTCCATCCCTCAATAATAAACTACCTGAAAACTAAATACTAGAGAAGAAGCAAGCTATGATATGACAGTGATGACGACCTCAAAAATAAGTGAAATAAGACTACAAAAAAATATTTAAATGACTAAGCTATAAAAAAAGCCATGAAAGAACAGGAAAGCCATGCAAATCTCACCATGAAAAAATGTTGTAGCAAAATTAAATTGAATGAAAAATTATAACCGATAAACACTCCAAATACCATTTATGAATTCTTAATCGCTTAAAAGCTCGAAGTCTACAACGTTTAAAGTATTTAACACAATCGACTGCACGGATGGCGTAGTGGTTTGAAACGGTCGCCACGCCGCTTACTACTACGCTGAATGTTGTGGGTCCGATCCCCACATGGGACTACACTTTGTGTGATCCACGAATTGTTGTTCTGAGTCTGGGTGTTTTTGTGTCGGTTTCATGCATGTTTGTAAAGTCCCCACGACACAGGATATATTCCTAATACTAATCTGTCTTCTAAAAAAAACAATAAAACTAAGCATAGAAATGTTTTTTTTTTACCGTAAAACTAAATCTCATTTACCAAACTAAAATAGAAAATCGATTAACTAATCGATGTATAAAAAAAACGGGAAAAAATAGTATTCAAGTCCAATTCACATCTACTCGATCGTCGTGGCGCTGCGATTGACTCGCATTGAAATCTTTACCATTGCTGGCGTTCTTCTACCGCTACGAGTTGATATTAAAATAATCTTGAACTGTTTTTTGTCCTAATTACAGTATACAGTTATTTTTTTTAACTGTTTCGTTTTTCATTGCAGAACGAGCCAAGCTCACAACGCAACTTCCTAGAGATCCTCGTGAAAGATATCAAGAGTATGATTCAATTCGCGCCGCTATAATCTTGTACTGATGTAAATACATTCGTTGAAAAACAAGTTTGATACTTTGTAATGTTATAAAATAAAAATTAATTTTGTAAGAAAACGCTTGTTTTATATCTCAATATCTTATGTCTTATATGTATGTGTGTAAATATGGATACCTTTCCCCGAAGGTAAATAATACACTTAAATAAGTGGAAAATAAATCGTTTTTATAGAAGTGGCAGGAAGAACTCTCAGAGTAATTAATATAAAAAACTTTGCTTAGGAAAAAGGTTTATAACATTTGTACAATAAGTAAATAATTAATTAGTAGTTTTATAATAACATGTTGGTGGTTTAATTCTACACAGTAAGCCAGTATTTGGGGGGCTAGTCATAATTCTTCGACGCCTCATGTATCTATACAACACTTCATCTTCATCTATGTTTTAGTAATCACCAATAATTTTGAATAAAATAGTCAAGTACACTTGACCATGATTTATAAGAAGATACAATAAAAGACTACAAAAATTTAATTTATAAAAATAAGAATGTACAGCATAATTTCGATTCGTTATCTCAAGTTTCCGTGGTGTAGCGGTTATCACATCTGCCTAACACGCAGAAGGCCCCCGGTTCGATCCCGGGCGGAAACATATCTTTTTGACATTAAAATTTGTTTATTTAGCTTAAAAAGGATAAAGTAAGATTTTGAAATTATACTGTAACTAACTTAAATGCAATTGTTCTTTAATCTTATTTTCCATCCTTAGGCTTATTTTAACTGATTCAAGGGTAAACCCTCCCAAATAAAAAATAATTTACCAAATCTGTTCAGTGCTGGGGTAACAAATAAAAACAACCCAATTGAGAATCTCGGTTAATACAAAATTATAACAAAATTTTCACCCTCATCACCTGGATAGTTGGCGTTCCACTACTGTGCGCTTTTCGAGACACTTTGCCCCGCACAACCAATCTGTGGAACGGGTTATCGTCTGCGGTATTTCCGGACCGATACGACCTTTAAACCTTCAAGAAAAGAGTGTACTCCTTCCTAAAAGGCCGGCAACGCGTTTTGTGACTCCTGAGTTGCAGACGTTCATGGGCGCCGATGGTCACTTTCCATCAGGTGACCCGTCTGCTTGTCTGCCCCCTCTAACATAAAAAAATAAAAAATAAAACTACGCAGAACTATACCAGCTCGTCTGGTCAGCGGGTATAGTAGGCATAAACCTCCTTTTTAAGGAGAGGCCTATATCTAGCATTGGACTACTAAAGGTTGTCGATGATGATAAATAAAACAAAAATAAATTCAACATGTCTGTTTATTCCCATAATGTCCACAGTTCAACATAATCATGAAATCAAATCTTCTAAAATCAACAATCCATACTAACACACCGTCAGTTTTACATGACCGTTCCCGGTGATATTTCTGCACATGAACAATGAACATACCGTGGTTTATAACAAAGCAGTAGGCAGTGACCGCTGGCGATTTCTCATTGAACTACTACTAAGGGAATGTACCCATGCTATGTGACCCATTTAAACCCCCCCTCCAGAACCTTCGGTGACCACCCGAAGTATATGCCAAGCACCCCTAGGTGCCCACCCGTAGTTTAAGCCATTCCCCCCCTTGGTGACCACCCCTAGTATATGCTATGCACCCTCCTTACTAGTTTTCACGTAGTAATACATAAGTATGATATTAAATCATTCTTGATTTTTTTTTATTTATAATTACGATTACGTGACGACAACCTAAGCTCTTTCCTGTATACGTAGTATGAGTACGTTCCCTAAGCTATGTTTTTTTTCAGAAATATGTGTAAAGATTTTACTGAGGTACTAAATTTCCAAAAATTGTACATTTGTCACGAGCTCCAAATGAATAAAAAAAAACACATCCTATTTTATGTTAACTGAAGGCGATAAATCTCGCCTGAACTATGAACAATACATGTATTACTTCCCTCTTAAAATCAAAATGTAACAAAACTAGGCTTTAACATTCTTAACATTAAATTTAATAAAAAATCTGTTTCTTAAACATCCTTGTTAGGTATTGAAATTAATTAAATAACAATTATAATAAAACGCACTTGTTTATATCTGGTGATAGAATGTGAATGTGAATCCAAGTGCCAATGGCGGTGGTGTTCCCAAATGAAATTATAAGCATTCCTAAAATTCTGTGCTCAGAGTGAAATTATCTCTGCGGTTGTTAGGAAAATTTGAAAAGTTTGCATTAAACATGCTATTTAATGATTTTTGGATTATAATTTCTAAGGCTTTTGTTTTTTTATTAAAGCCTTTATAATATAGACCTGACAAGGCATTGCTCAGTAGCCTGTCATCTTAAAAAAAAAGAATCACTTTGTATTAAAAAATAATTGTCTATGGTTAAAATCGTAATGTACTGTATGCATTCTTAAATTTAAAAAATCATATTTCTATTATATTTTGAATTCAGAAAGTCTGTTACCATGGGGTAATGTATATAATTGTTATAATAAAGCATAATATGAATAAATCCCATAAAGTTAGGTCTGAAATAAGACCACCTGGACGAATTAAATTCGTTGCTGTAAAGTATTATAAATGTAAAAAATTGATAATAGCTAGGTATGACGTCATAACTCAACCTTTCGTACAAGTTTCTACAGTATGTACTGTTTAATAAAGTACATTTTTCATTATGTTCTCGGAACATCTAACATTTTTGATTTATCTTATAAAATAAACAACTGATAGACTTTAGTATAATTATATACGTAGTCTGTCCTTGGTATTACACATACTAATAACATTTAGATTCTATACTGGGATGTTATAGAAAAGCACGGTCATATTACAGACAAATGTATAACAAATCGTTAATTTGCTTGAAAAAAAAGATGTTAAATTTACCTTAATTTAGTGGTTTTCAGGGCAATATTAATGACTTTATTTTTATTTTTTTATGCAGACATATTTCTAGAAATCTTGATTTAAGATAAGATTTTTGCATAAAAAAATGACTTAAAATTCTTAGAGATTTACAGGAGTCCATTATACGAAAGTAAAAAACGAACACACTTTTCTGTACCAACCTGTATAATATAAGATATATTGGTTAATCATGTCTTAGGACTATTAAAATATTATGTTCTATAAAAAGTATCAAAATTGAATACACTAGGTTTACTTTTGGTTCTCTACTATAAAGTGGGGAACCAGACCCAGGTGAGAAACTTTAAAACTTAAATTAGAGCCGTGCGGGCTGGCAATGTTGAAAGTTTAGGGCTGGCAGACATCACAACTTTAGAGCTGGCATCGTTGCAATTTCAGAAGTTTCGCGTAGCAAAAATTAGAGTACTTAAAAGGCCGCTCTAGGTAGGTTCATAGGTTCAGCCTACAGAAGAGCACGGTTTAAGGATAACACTACACGTAGTGTTGTTTTATTTTTCACTAGTGACAAATGGTGACTCTGGAGGCTCTTTCTTAGGACATAGAAGGTAGTTAAATGTTGGTCAACCACAAGTGCTTTCGCAGTTGTTAGTTTTTTTTAAAGTAAAAGTAAGCATTTATTACTAAGTGGCCAATTACGGTTGTATAGAATATAAAACACATATAGGCAAGTTGATATATAAAAATAAATGTTGATCCTACATTTTTTTTGGTATAAGTCAGTGAAAGGCAACGAAAGAATTGCTTAGCACCGGTTTTCTGTGAGGCCGTGGTATCACTCCGGTCGAGTCGGCCCATTCGTGCCGAAGCACGGATATCTAATTTGTTATGGATTTTCGATGACAGTATTTTTTTCCCTTCTATACACCGTACTGTTGTTGTGTCACATAGCTTCAAAATTTTGTTTACCAATATTAATATTTAGGAATAAATATTAATGATTTAAATTGTTTGATATATATCGCTTTTTTACATTATATTATTGTTTTTGATCAAAGGTTAAACAAACGTCGTGTTAAGCATGCTTAGTGACACATGCTTAGTACAGCGTAAGAGCATTTCCAAGAATATTGGATCTAAATTTTCTGCTAAATTATATATCGGACACTTTATAAAATTAACTTGATATGCATCCCGTTAGGTGTGAAATCAGAAGAAACTTCAAAATGCAATGTTGCCATTGTTCTTAATATCGCAATATTCAGGTACTTGAGAAATCATTATTATTAATTTTATTTGATATTGAATTTGAACTAAATGAATACCACTCATTCAAGTTACAAAAACGTTGCAGCAAATAAGGCTCAACGGTGTAATACAAAAATGTGTTTAGTATTGCCGTGAACTGGGGACTCGCTCAGTATGACCATAAATGCACGCAATCAGTGTACCGAGGGTGGAACATAAATTCTAAGAGGATTTAATGTAAAAACACCTTTGTTTGCAATAATTAGTTACAGTTTTTTGATGGGCGTGCAACTTCTTCGTAAATGTAATTTGAAGTGACACGTTAGCACTAGATAAACTTGATTGATTTAAGAGAGTTACCATTTATTAAATTATTAAACTAAGTCATCTGTTGTAATATTAATGAATCTCTACTGTCACGGCACAGACTTAAAGGGAATTACTATGGCTTGGGTCTGGTAACACTCTTATAGTTATGAATTTGTACATTTTAATTATTATTACAGTTAGTTACCCAGAATCTCTTATGTCAAAGGAATAAATTAATCATTGGAATCTTCGCTGTCAGCGTCTGCGGCGCTGTCTTCGTTCTTAGATTTCTTTTCTTTTTTTTTCTTTGGACGCGGTTCGAATTTTGACATATGCACCCTTTTCCCGCCAATTCTGATGTCAGCCTTTTGGCTGAGGGCACGCTCAACCGCTTCTAGGCCGTCGAATTCAACAAACGTTGTTGCTGTAAAATAATAATGGATGAATATTATGAGTTTGTCTTATTGTAGGTATAAGTGCTATTTTTTTTTATCCCAGACTGTCAGAATATACGTCACTACCGTACAAGGCCTTTGAAGTATCCTTCTCACAGAATATGGGTAGTTCTTATTTATTACTTATGCTAGATGAGACAGTAGCTTATTGTGGTGTGTTAAATTAATATATATATACTTATCTATATATACAAAACAAAGTAGTGTTAGGTACACCATTTATAACTCAAGAACGGCTGGACCAATTTTTATGATTTTCGTGTTTTTGGATTTGTCTTGTTTGTATAGATTTTGATTTGATATTCATCAATAAAAAATATCATTAAAAAAACATCAGTCTAGTTATTCATTTCTTATAAATGGGGTAGTAAAATCCAATCGAAATCGGTCCAGCCCTTTAGAAGATTACCCCGAACAAACAGAAAGATCTGTAATTTTGACATTACAAACAGACACTTCAATTTTATTTATTCGTATAGATTAGAGATTGAGATGATTCAATATTGGCTTACCCATAGTTTTCTTCCCCTTGACTAAATGCCTGATGCTCCTGATCTTGCCAAAGCCCTGGTACGTGCTGCTAATATTCTGATCGTTGAGCTCCCCGTAGGAGCGCACAACAAGCGTTGTGACCGTTGCTGGGAGAAGCCGCTTTACGCGTATTCTGCTCCCTTCAAAGGTAGTATTGTTTTCTTCTAATGCCTGGAATATATTATACAGAGAAGTTATTTATGCATGTATTACTGGATATTGTGTTACTATCCCTCTCAGACCAATTTCTTAGCGTTCCATGGATTCACCGTGCGGGTGCCAGGTCCATCGCGTGATAGATCTGCGACAGCGCCTGGAAGTTACGATCCAGGAGTAGATTTAGAGAGTACTCCTTGCGACGCGTCAGCGCCCACCTCCACTGACTGTTGTTACCTCCTCTACCTAACCGAGCGTACCAATGTCGCTTAGTGGCTACCGCTTAAAAGAGCTTACTGAAGCTCTTGGCAATCCAAGGTCCTCCAGTATCCTATTCCAGAGTATAATCTATTTATGTATCAAGTTCAAAACCTCCTTTCTAAGGAAAGGCCTATGTCCAGCAGGGAACTGTTATAGGCTGTTGATGTTGTATCAAGTTTCATCTAATTCCATTCACCCAAACTTCCAAACATCCAGCCATAAATCCATCTACTCAAAATTTAACAATATTATAGATTAAGTTGGATTTCATTTGAGATAGTAATATACTTGATAGCAGTTTAAGGAAAAAGTCAAACGATGCGGTGCGGTTTTGGCGCGGTGCAATACATACAAATATCCGTGGTATACCACACGGTGCGGTGCCGCGCCGCACGCAACACCGGTTCAAGACGAGGGGGGGAGTTGTATGCGCCGGAGCGGCAGTGCTGCCACTCCGACGTCGTCCGCAAATGTTGTAAAATGTAGGTGCTTGCTCGTGTTTTTCCCATAATTTTATATCAATCTTAAGTTGTAAAATAGTACTAACGAGGACGATATTCTCGATATGGACTATCTCATATGTCCCAAACAGCAGTGCACTGCGGTGCACCACCCGTGTCAACCGCGTCCTTCAACGAATCGTGTGGCTTTGCTCTAAGTTAATTTATTATTTACACTTTCTTTAAATTATAATAAATTAAATAAAACATTTTATAATATCAGTACCAGTTCCGCAGCTCCATCGCTATTGAAGGTAATTGTTGTAGTGAAGACAGGTCTGATGTCTTCAGTAGGGTACATCTCGGCCATACTAAAACAAAAGAATTAAATAATAGAAATCACCTGCTACATAATGAATAAGCAATAAGCAACACCACCAGAAAATCCCTTTGGACTAATTAGGAGACTAATCCACTTGTGGATTTGATAATACTCATTATGCCATAATTTTTTCACATCACATCAACAGCCTATACTAGTCCACTGCTGGACATAGGCCTCTCCTTAGAAAGGAGGTTATAATTTTTTAATATGCTTTAAATTAGATATTTTGAAGTTTTGGTTAAAAAATGTGCACAACTAGTCTTGGACAACTTTTCTGATTATAAGAAGACTTCTGCATTATAGTGATAAAGATTGATTTAGGTTAAAACCCTCATTTCAAATACATACCATAAATGTATATGAAATTATGTTTACGGGAATTAACGCGCTCACGACTGGTATTGGCCGTGGTCACAGGGTGACTGAATCAGCGCAGTGTCGCCAATTGTTAAAAAACTTTCCCCCTATAGCAATTTTAAAAACCACTAAATTCACGAAAGAACCCCCCAAGACGGACCAAGTATTTATTTATTGCATTATAATATACATGCTGCCATCTATTAAAACTGGAATTATTCAATCTGATTAGATTTTGTTTAGTTTTGTTGATATATGTAGAAAATACTGTAAAATTTATTAAATAATTCAAATTAAATTTTATCCCTAACAATACCCCAACAAATTTAACCCCCTAAAAAAACTCTCTGTATAGATTTTTCCCCCTAAATTTGGGGAGAAAACCATGGCATGACTGGTTAAGCCTGTGACCACAGCCAGCACAACATAGTCAAAATGTCAGGCAATTCAAAGCTAAGTACCTACTTAATACTTATCGTAAGGTTAAATCCCCTTAATTATATTTTTATGAAACATCTGGTCAGCATTTTATATAGGCCAAAAGCTCCTTCCTAAGGAGAGACCTATGTCCAGCAGTGGACTATTAAATTAAATTAACCTCTTTAGGGATAGAGACAAGATTTGTAATGTTACAGTAAAGTTGAATATATGGAGCATTTACTAAATGTATTAACAGCCATCATTGGTGAAAACTCTCTTATAATTAATTCTAATAGCTAAAGCTTAAAAAGCCATTTCCTCATTACGTTTTTAAATTTAAATATTTATCTACTTATGTTTGTGAAACCTAAATCTTTTGTATATGTCACTGGAAAATAACACGAACCGCAAATGTATAAATTTCCTAGGAAATTTATAAACTTTCATAGGATTCTAAACAAGAGAAGAAAACAAAACCTAATCTAACCGGGTTGGGGGTAATGAGCGAGCCAACTTGCCAAGGAGGCAGCTCTGGTACTGAAGAAAGCACCGAAATGTGGACGTAAAATAATTCAATTTATATATTGTTTAGAATCCTACAAAGGTTTATACATTTGTGGTTCTTGTTATTTTCCGGTGATATTTATAAAACTAATAGTTTTTAACATACAAGCTTTGCTGAAAGATCTGCCAGTAGTTATAATAATATTTATGTGATAAAAAAGGAACTCTTACCCAACTTTCTTGATTAATCCATACTTTATGAAGTAATCTGCCAATAGTTTCTTATAATTTAACACAATATTAATTGGTAGATTTTCTACAACAACTGTATTGTCTACAATACTATCACTTATTTCCCCTTTTTTATCCTTGTTCCATTTTCTCTTTTTCCATTTCACTTTCTCTTTAACTTCTTCCGTGTTCTCTGACTCTTCCTTAGTAGGACTCTTTTGTTTTCTGTTTTTGCTTAACTTTTGTTTCATTTTTTTACGTTTGTCTTTATCAACAACTGTCATTTCATCAAGCATGCTAGACAATGTGTGAGCATTGTCCCCAATACTTAAGTTTTCTAAATCTTCAGCCAGATCCGGCTTTGAATCTGTTTTTCGGGACTTCGACACTGGTTCGTCATCACCATCCCCACTTTCTCTTTTATTGGACGTTGTTGGTTTAACTTGCTTCTTCTTTTTAAGTTTTTTTAAATTGTTAGATTCCGGTGTAATTTCATTACTGTTGCTCGTCTCTGTTTTAGTTTCAGTCATCTCTGGCTTAGGTTTCCTTGTCTTTTTTAACTTCTTTTTTTTCTCAAAATTTGGGCTATCAGGAGTAGATGAACTTGAACCCAATACAGGCTTCTTAGTTTGTGAACTTTTGGCTTCATCAGCTTTTGGTTCATTACGAGGAGACGTGTCGATTTCCATGTTGTGCATAACCACCTCAGTGGCTGGATTTATTTGCTTATCCTTCTTAAATAGTCTTTTATTTGCTTTCTTTTTTTCCTTGACATGAGGTTTTTCAGTTTTTTTGTTGACATTGATAGCATCATCAGATTTAGTTCTCTTTACTAACACCTCTTCATTATCATCCAGCATAAAACTGACAGATTTATTCCTCTTTTTAGGTTTGCTGCTTGATGCAGGAGATCTAGTGCTGTCCGGTGTCTCATCACTAGTAGAGGAGTTTTTCATTATAGATTTTACTCTTGCTCCCTGATTTTGACTAATGGTGATAGGAGTGGAGTTAGACTGAGTGTCAATGACTTTAGCACAAGCACCTTTACCAGAGTTTAAACTCGACGCATCTATGTTGATTCGAGAGATATCTAAGGGTTCCTGTTTGTTCTTTATATTACTTTTACGCAACGAACGCTCACGTTTAGGACTTGTTATTAACTTATTTTTGGTAATATCTTTATTCAAAGTACTATCATCAGTTTTATATTTTTCAATAATCTTATTGGTTTCTGCAGCTGTTTTGTAAAGACCGACAAAATCGAAAGGTTCAATTATATCCAGGAAATCGTAACTATTACTAACTTTTTGCTTTTCAGCGGTGGTCGGCTTCGTCTGATTATACTTTGATTTCATTTTTCTACCTTACCCGCAATTTTTTTTTAAGGATTTATAAACAAATCATAATCGTATTTAAATCCGTTCCGTAAATCGTGGTATTATAATGAGGTTGAGGTTATGATTTTTGTGTTGATTTTTACTAACCTAACAGTGAGTGAGGTTATGTTTCATAGATTACAATAACTACTACGACTTGACATAAAGTAAAAATTAATTTTGAATGAATAATTAATATTGACCCTGAAAATTTTAAAATATTGTTACACTAAAATGGATTGTAAATTATTTCAGTTTAAATTTTGATTTCATAATAATTAATTCGTAGATAATCTAACACTCCATAAACAAAAAATAATTAATTTGTGATGTAGCAACCCAGATAACCTCACTTTTTTTAATTTATTTAATGGCGGATGCGCTTGCGTGATGCCGGTGTCGTGTTATTATTGCATCTAGTTTGGCGTCTTTTCCTGTGAGTTTGTGGTTTCATTGATTTTACGGTTTACAACTTACTTGGTGAGTAAAACTCCTACCTATATTTGAATAGAATTAAGGCATGATACGTATTTTTATTGTAATAAGTATTTACGAGGTAACGCTTCGGGTTCGTGAATTTTCCACTCACAAATAGGCGTGCTTCATGGCGCGTATGGCTTGTTATGATGTATTTACCGTTATCTGTGATATTAGACATAGTTAAAATTAGCTCATTTGCTTTAACTAACGCATATTTCATAAGATTGTACGTAATAAGATGTTTCGTACGTTGAAACTTCGCCCTTGAGATCTGTGAATAGGCGCCAAGTGGTGTAGATAAGTTTTAGCAAAAAATAGATATGGCGGGAAACGTAGTTATTGAGAGAGCGTGATGACTTACATGCCTGCTCTCTGTAGTCAGTTTTGGTAAATTTCGTGTTACTTTCAGTCGTAATAACAATGGTGGCTCAAAAGAAAGGTCGCGGAGCTAAAAACCAAGCTGCGAAGGCAAAAGCCGCCGCCCCAGCCGTGGAGGAACCTGCTCCCGAGATGGAAACTTCTGAGCCAGTAGAAGCTGTAGAAGATAATAACGGTGACGCAGAACAAGCTGAGCAATCAGAGGAGGCCGCCGTTGGAGAGGCCGGTGATTCCGAACAACAAGAGGGAGAACAGAACCAAGAGAACGCGGAAGGCGGCGATGCCGCAAACGCTGAGAAGGAGGCAAAGGTTGAATCTGGTAAAATACTTGTGGAGAACCTGCCTTCTAGCTACCTGTTCGATTATCAGGAGAAGCTCAAGGAGTTGTTCTCAAAGCATGGAGAAATCATCAACGTCAAGTAAGTACCTTAATTTTTTATATCACATCAACATATGTTACTGACACAGCATCTTGCCAACATTCAAATGTCAGTCCATGAACTGTCATATGTATAAATGAATCACTGTATTTGTATTTGTTCAAGTTTATTAGATGAATTATGATAATTGTGTAATGTGTTCTTGAGAAACTGCAAACAGCACTCAGAACGCAAGCACAGCCTGAAACTGTATGGAGTATTAATGAGACAAATTTTCTTTCTTTTTAGACGTGGTCCAATCATTGTAACAGAACTGACCACAACTCCTACATTATCGGCAATAGTCGAATTCAAAAACAAAGAGTCTCTGGAAAAGGTAAACAAAAGTTTATTCACATTATTTATTTTATAATGAAAAGACATTTTAGTAGTTTTAGAATTTAATTAGCCTTGCTTCAAAATGAGGCTGCTATGGCTAAGTAAATATTCTTTTTCCAAATTACTTTTTTTAAATGTTACCGCATTCTTCATGTACAGAATGAGTGACTATTTGAATGTTTAAACAGGCTGGTCTTCTACAGCAATAGCATCTCTTTGGCAGCTCTTTGTAACTCAACATGTTAATTTAGAAAATAAAAACACATTCTAAGACTTGTAATGTAGTAGATCAGCTCATCTTCCTGTGACATATTTGTGTTTTTGCAGCAGTGGTAAGTGAGGTGGGGCTGTACAGTGGGGCTTCATTTTATCCCTTGTAACTAGGTGGTGTGTCTGCCAGTGACTTTAGCAAATGGAATATTGTAAACACAGTAATAATCAGTTTACAATATAATATATTCATAAATATATCTCTTAGTTTTTAAACAACATAGATTTGAACACAGTTTTAGAACATAAACTTTATGAGCAGGGTCATAATTATGTGTATCCAAGATTTTTTTTAACGAATATAGTGTAAAATTAGAATTAAATTTGTAGGAAGAATATGCATTTACAAGTTTAGAGAACATAGAAAAACAATAACAAATTGTGTTTGCTAAGCTATTTGTTTATTGTCAACACATTCACTGCCTTTACTTATGATCTTTAATGATTATTTAGTTAACTTCTCTAGGGCCTGACTCTATCATACACTGGACATGGAAATTATTGCTTCTTTTAAATCATATTTGTTAGATGAAATGATTATTTTAAGTCACAGTGATTAGAGACAAGACAAAGATAAATGCCATTAAAATCAATCAAAATTCTTTTATCAAAGACAACAATAGTTTTTTTTTAGATTTGGAGCTTTTGCCTGTGTAGCGCTTGCATAATAATAATAAGTCGCAGTGGCTTTGTAAATTAGTCACAGGTGTGATTATACGATATGATTAAATCATATTTATCACATGTGATTGTGATTTTATCCATCCCTATCATACACATAGTTATTAAGGTTCATTGACACCTAATGGCTAAAGAAAACTTTGTAATGGTCTTATACTTTTTTATTGCAATCGTAATTAAGCAAGCGTAACTAAGGTAGGGTAAAAACTTGGAGTGTTCAATGCTATAGTTTTTTTGCTCATTCTTACAATAGTAGTTATTAAACTCCATGCTGCATAAAACTGTGTGGTGTATGTATATTATCTTGTTTGTATAGGAAATGAAATATTTATGATAATAAAGTGTTAATTTTTTTTAACTGCTTGGTAGCGCCGTTTGAGTTTTGTATTGTTTATACGAATTTTATTGACTCAAGCACAGACTTGTATAAAAACAGATATTTCTCTATAGCCAAATGAATAGAGTCGTATTGTCAATGTAATAAGTGGCTAACTACGACGCGCTAGTAAGCTTTTTCTATTTAATTAATAAGCGACCAAGGCGAGCGACTTGCTATGAATTGTTTATAGGTTCAAACTTTATCCAGCCCTCAGTTGAGTGGGGTTTTACAAAACTATTATTTGGGGGGAGTGGCGGGTGTTTTTTTTTTAATGGTATAGGAGTACAAACGAACAAACACCAACAACCCAAGTGTTTTTATTTCTCTCTATTGTCACGGCGACCGCGTATCTCCGTCTTTCTCAACGCCAAACGCGCTCGCCGCCGAGAGCGTGTTGATGTGATATAAACTTGCACCAGGACCTCTGATGGTATTGTGTGGTGACTGATTAAAAATACGGAGTGTCACCATCTCTAGTCATCCCGTAGGTGTCGTAAGAGGCGACTTAGTGGGCAAACTACGCATCACAACAGCACTGCAAAGTGAAGGAAAACTTATACAAACAAACTTTAAACCAACCCGTCTGATGATGATATGCCAAGAATTGCGTTTTGATGCGTACATAAAATACTTGAAAAACAGGTTTTCTCGTAAATTTTTGTATAAAATTGTATGGCTGGCCGTATCTTTCCATCCCTGCGAATTGTTTTTTTTTCTGACAGAGGTATCTTATGTTCTTAGCTCCTATAACTATATTTGAAAATGATTGAGCTCAAATAATACGAACGAATAAACATGATTTTCTATAGATAAAATATAATCTGATAAGTATAATAAGTTCCTGAGATAAATGTCAAGCATAGAAATTATTTATTTTCTTGTAAACTTGTGCCTTACGTAAACAATAATGTTGCCTTGTTAGTTACTTCACATCACACATCAACAGCCTCTAATAGTCCACTGCTGGACATAAGCCTCTCCTTAGAAAGGAGGTTTTGGCCTACTATACCGTGCTGGCCAGACGGGTTGGTATAGGGTTTGTGTCAAGTTAGTTGGCACACCGTGTGGTTTTAGTCGGTCCGATTCCGACACACCACCCCGCTGCAAACCCCGGTGGGGTGACGGCCCGAGGGGGTTTCCACACATAAGAAAAAAAATGGGTTGGTGTCAAGTTTTCCTTCTCTCTGCAGTGCTGTTGTTCTGCGTAGTTTTTCCCTTAATCGGCTCTTACGACACCCACGGGATGAAAAGGGGTGGTGACACTCTGTATTCTGAATCCGTCACCACACGGACAGTTACTTGTTAGTCACTTATAATGGATTAATTTCGTAGCCATTTTGTTTCCTGTTATAATATTATTATCTTTTAAAGTATAAAACAAACAAAATGTCCTCGAATTATATAATGGCGTTATAAAGGCATGTAAGTACATTAGTGTTGCGACATCCATGTATGACCCGATAATGTGCGCAGGCGTTGACAGAGGAAGGCACGAAGCTGGACGGCAGCACCATTACTGTCTCCGTGGAGTCTCGCGCCGAGACCGCCGTGCTGGTCGGCGTGCCCTACGAGGCCAGCACCGAGTATGTCAAGCAGCTCTTCACACAGTGTGGGGAGGTCACCCACATACATGAGTTCAGCAAGACCAAATACAAGATACGTAAGTATCTCTTAAATCTTTAAAAAAAACCGCATCACCATTTTTTTAATTATTCAAAATAATATTTGTGAATGTGTTTTTATTAACTACAGCACATACTTTTTTATAGTTGAATTGTTTTGTGAATTATTAATGCATTACAAATATGTGCAGGGGTCGAATATAAAAGACACCCCTAAATATGTAGAATAAGTTACTAACTAACAAATAAGTGATCAAAGTTTGTATTTTGATTGAAAGAATACTTTTATGTACCATTTTTTATCTCTCATCGTTCATTCTCTATGGCGTGTGAAATTTCGTGTATGTAGTAGAGTATGTGTATGTTTTGGTAGTGTGTTTCGTTTTAGCCGGTACATGGAAAGTCTAAACAGCGAACATGAAAGTAAAAAAAAACATTTGCCTTTTTATTATTTATTAAATTTTGCAACTAATTCTCCGAAAACGAATTTAAATCATTATTCTTCTCGCAGGTAGTTAGATTGAAATGTTTACGAATTCATGGCTCATTTTACACCACAATAGACAAAACATTTGGTTATTTTTGTACAAGTAGCTAATTTAACAATTTGGGCGCGCTTGTTCGCAACTAAAGAAGGCCTACGTTGAGTACGCTGACTTGTCAGTGGTGAGGTGTCCTTATACACAATTTCCAAATTCAAATGATCGTTTTTTTTTAACATATATAAAAATGTTAAGTTGGTTTGTGTACGCGCCAAAATCTCTAATATTTCTGCACCCATTGTGCTCAAATTTTGAAACGATATCCGCTTCAAAGATTGCTCTTATTTATTTTTCGCGTCAGTTATGTTCCACATTTCTCATCAATGCAACCACAATTTGCAACAGCGAAGTGTGGCAGGGTACAACTAGTGACCAAATGTATGTTTAATTTGTCACTTTTAAATTAATTGTTGTGTATTTTCAACACAAAGAAATCAATTTGTTATAACAACAATACACAAATTAATCTCAACTTAATCATTGATCATTTACTCATTTACTACAAGTTTATAACGCATTGTTTATATATTTGTAGTAAAGGTTAAATAACGATAATAATGTGGTTTTATGTTTGTACGAATTGACTAAAATTTTCAATCTCACATTGAGTGATCAATTGAGCCGCTGCCATAGTAGGAAAAGTATTACACGCTACGCTAAAAATCTACGCGCGAGAAATCGATTATATTCTAAACTGTACTTATGACGCGTGTCCACATTCCGCGCAAACCACATGTACAGGTCTTAATGTACCACGTGGTCACAATAGGTACACACAGACATCTTAAAATATGCATGTAGTTAGTAATAAACTAGCTGAGACCCGCGGTGTTACCCGCGTTTGTTGTTATAACCGCGGGCAACGCCGCAGGGCGATGCTATTCTAAAAAAAGTAGCCTAAGTTACTCCTTATGTCATCAGCTATCTCCCAAAGAAAGTCCCGTCGAAATCGGTCCAGACGTTCCTGAGATTACCCGGAACAAACAGACAGACAGACACAAATTGTATAAAAGGTTTTTTTTGGGCATATGTACCACTACCGTGTAAACATACATATGCATTTAGTAAAAAGCGGTTATTTTAATATTACAAACAGACACTCTAATTTTATTTATTTGTATAGATAAGTATTTATATCAGCAGTCTGCTGAGTTTAGACGGCCGTGTGTAATATGTGTTATGTTGGTATTTTTTTATCAACTAAAGCGTCAATAAATCTCTAAAAAATTAAAATTGTGTATAATCGAAATTAGAGCAATGAAGTAACGTACAAAAAACTGGCCAAGATTTAATGGCGTGCCATTTTGTAGAGGATGAAAAGGTCACGAGTTCAAATCTCAAGCTCAAATTTTACCGTACTGAGCTAAACGCAGGGGTGCAAACGAGTTTCAACTCGGTCGGCGTCGTGAATAATCGATATTAGCTTGAGGGAGGAAGGGGAACGCGGATGTTATCTAAAGAGTATTACCGGGACAGTGTTGTATTCCTTCTATTCAGTACGATAGACACCTTCTCGGGGATGTTTGGGGACGCGAAAATGTTGAATTGTTAATGTTCCATCACTGAGGATGTATTCTTATTACCTATTGTTTATAGTAATAGGTATTATTAAACTTTTAAGTCCAAACGAAGTCCGATTTATATATTAGAGGATATTTAATTGGTTAATTTATCGTAGTCTTCTCCCGCAGTTTCACCTGCGTTAATGGACACTGCCGCTTCTAAGGGTAGCTTAATGTTCATAGCCCAAATGAAGACATTTAAACTGTTAACTCCCGAGATTAGCGTGTTTCATCAGATTATCGCAGTCCACTGCTGGACATATGCCTCTCCTATTGCACGCCACTTAGATCGATTTTGGGCTTCTCGGATCCAGCTCCTGCCAGCCATCTTGCGCAAATCATCAAATAGCGTGTTTAAACCAACATAAAAATATTAAAAAGCTATATTTTGTTTTTACGAGTATAGATCATCTGAATAAAAAAAAAGTTGAAAAAAATAGGTAAATATTCTATAACGTTTATACATATCAGATGAAGCGAAGATCTGTACAGCATAACAGGTTATGTATGGTCTAGTAAACCGGCCCGTTATACACACATATACACACATCAGTATAGTAGCCGTTGCATTCGTCTGGGGAGGCATAAAAGAGGGTTGCGCCCCTCATAGTTCTATATCTGTGTATGTATAATGCGACCGTTGCCTGCCTGCTCTTATTGGTCCCGCACAGCGCGGTCGATGACGTACTACTGTTCTCTGAAGTTACGACACGGTTCCATTAATTCAAGAATTGATCTTCTAGACTAGGACATTTAATGTCAGTATTATGAACACGACTTACATGTATATATTCACAAGCGAATACGCGAATTATTATTACGCTATTGATTATTCATTGAGGGGAATATTCGTAGAAGAGAATTTACGACTTATTGTTTAGAGGTGCGAAGTCGGTTTCTTCCATCTAAGTTAGTTAATTTCTAAATGTATGAATAATGAGACAAATCGAATAGAAACAGATTATGAGATCGGTTTTGTTATTTAGTTTAGTTATAAAACAAAAGTAAACAGAACAAGTATTTTTAGTACTTATAATAATTTTAAAGATAAAAAATATACGAGAGACGAGATTTTTTTTTGGATAAAAGTTGTATCAAATATGGGTTCCATGCATGCATTTGATTACCTATCGTATGTAAATATGTTTATTATATTAGGCTGTTGATGATAAAATATTATATTTATTAAAATTGTTTTAAAGCATAGTTTACCCTTTTTCGGCGGTTATACCCGATTCGTCAGCCCGCTAGTGCGGATGCGAAGCGTCTGTTAGCACATCTGTGCTTACAGCTGCATGCAAGCACAGTTTAGTGGATGCCATTTTTGAAACCACTATCGAAAAACAATGAATACATATATGTTCGATGCATAGCTGTATACCAATACACAGGTATATAATTATACAAATTATGGTTTGGAAAAACTGTGTAGTTCGGCGGTGGTATGGCGCTCACACTATTCCCTCTAGTCCCTCCTATTAAAGCGCGCTGAGAAATGCGAGAACTGTATAAATATAAGTCCTTTGATCAGAAAGATCTAAGTAATCATTCTCTTCCGGTATGGGGAGTTTAAATCCTTGTTCACGCATCTTTGAATCTTATTGTTTATGCGGCGTGTGTGGTTGCGTGCGTGTAACCAATTATTTGATCGGTTGCCTCACACTTATATTCGCGATCTTTCCCTAAGAGATCTTGAATATATTGTGATCAATGAAATTGTGAAAATATTTTCTTTTTATAATTATGCATATTGCAAGTAGACGTAGTGTTTTTAACATTTGTCTACAAGCTCGTGGGCCGTGAGAGAGCTATGCTTCGGAGAGATACCACGGCCTCACAGAAAACCGCTGTGACGGGGTGTTATAAGTTTGACGTGTCTGTCTGTGGCATCGTAGCTTCCGAACGGATAAACCGATTTTGATTTTGTTTCTTTTGTTTGAAAGGTGAATTAGTCGGGAATGTTCTTAGCTATCATCATCATCGACAGCCTTTAACAGTCCACTCCTGGACATAGGCCTCTCCTTAGAAAACTATGGGTAGGTTCTTAGCTATGTTTGATGAAAATCAGTATAAGATTGCCGCCGCCACAAAATGGTGGATTATATATTTTTCACAACTCCCTTAATATGGGTATCAATTGAAAGGACTTGACTAGTAGAATAATAAATAATAATAAAATAATAATAATAACTTCACACATCTCACACACGGCCGTCTGATCCCAAACTAGGCAGAGCCTGTACTATGGTAACCAGACTGCTGATAAACCTACTTATACATTTTTAAATAGATACATATTATAGATAGATTACACCCAGACACAGAACAAATGACCGTGCTCATCACACAATATTTGTCCTGGGTGGAAATCGAACCCACGAAATCCGGCTTAGCAGAATACTAATACTACTATGACAAATTTTAAATCCAAGATGTGTCGGGGGTTTTTAAGTTTTTATTTTATACTAGTTTACCCAGTGATCGAGGTCACCGGAGCCCTAACCTCCCCTCCCTTTTATCCTAGGAGGGGGAATCAAAATGCGGCAATACGCTCGTGATTCTTCAGTTGAAGGTGTCCATGGGCGGCGGTATTCACTTACCATCACGTGACACATCTTCTCGTTTACCCCTTATACCATAAAAAAGTTTAAATATTGTTTACTTTACGGCAGTGAGCCGATGTAGCACTTCCATCCTCGGTCATGCACCTTTGACATTTCAATTTTTATACGCATTAACTAAGTTGGTAATGCAGTGTTTATTGACTATTAAATGAATCTCTTCGGGATCTCTCTTCTAACTAAAAAACAACGCAGGTCCGATTAGTATTTCGCAATAACATATTCGTGTATTATATAAATACCTACAAACTCATGAATTATACTCAAAATTATTCATTTTACAAAATCTTTAACTAAAATTCTCTATATATTAAATAACCCACCCCTGGTCGCTCCCGGCGCAAGGGTGTCCATAACGCTAATTGCGTTTCCACACTGAATGTCCACGGCTAACCTCTGCACCAGGAACGACCCTGAGCGGGAGAAAATCTAGCTATAAAATAATATTATTTTGTCATTAAACATGCAGTCATGCCCCCGACTGATAATGATGCCTGTATCCAGTTTCATTTAATTTATTCTTTAGTGTAAGTAAGTTTAATATTTCTCCATTATGTTCTTAAACTGAATGGTACTTTCAGCAGACACATATTTTGGGAGCTTGTTCCACACTTCTACCACTCTGTTTCTGATAAGTATTTTGGAGGATTATAAAATGAAATATCGTCCTGTTTTAACTTTAAAGTTTTAATTAATTTAATAATCTTCACATTAACATTCATAGTGAATGACTTTACAACATTGACTGACGTCATCCCTAGGTATTTCATACAAAGATGTTACTAACGTACTGGTTTGACATTAACTAAATAATTCTGATTGACTTTACAGTCATAAAACATATTTAATGAACGCAATTAATTAACACTGATAATTTTGCAATAAGAAAATGCATGACTCCTAATACATAATTTTATAAAAAGAAAAAACAAGTATTTGCCTAGAAATGAAACAAAAATATGAAATATGTATGTAAACTAGTATGAAAACTTTTGTACATAACAGTTGTCTTGTTATTGCGCAGTGCGAGTGACATTCCAAGACAAGGACAGCGTGGACAAAGCGCTGAAGCTGGATCGGGAGCTGCGCATCAACGGGTTCCTCGTCACCGTGTCCAAGTACCGGGATGAGGACGAACAGAAGGCTCACAATGCAGCCAATGTTAACAAGGTAATGGAAAATTGATTTTTGGTTTTGCAGAAGACGATGTTAGGAATAGATAAAAAGAATGCCATTTAAGCTTATTTTAGCGGTTGTCTCAACGTGCTAGCGTGTATGCGTTTCATCTAGTATTAACGTACGTGTGTGTTCGTTATTCGTTGGCCCTTCTCTACAAATAATTGATCTTCTACTGATTAATTGTATGCTAAAAGGCCCCTTAGGTCCAAAGGGTTGCACACTTCTAATTGGTCGAACATATACACGGTGTAAGGGACGTTGTAACGAATAGTGAAATAGTGTATTCAGACTATCATTCTGAGTCGAAAATCATTGGAATTTTCTGCTGGAAAATTAAACTTTTTATGCAATCAGCTGTCAAAGGTTAAGGTCATTCCCTGTAGGTATCGCACAAAAGTAATAACTACATGTGTATTCCGTGCAAACAGACTACGCACACGCACACAAATGGCGGCCGAAGGGGAGGCCCATCGCGTTCTGGCAGTTTTTTGGTATTTATTAAATTGTTTTCGGTAAAATGTTCTGTCTACTCATTGTATTCATCATTTATCATTTTTAACCAGAAAAATTGAAAAAAAAAAAAGAATTTTCCTGCAGAAAATTTAATGATTTTCGACTCAGAATCAATGGTCTGAATACACTAATTCAGTATTCGGTACTATGTCCCTTACACCCTTTATATATTTAGATGTAAATAGCTTCTACACTTATGTATGTAGTAGAATGTATTAAATACACAGTTTAGATGATCTCGAAGTTTATAAATCTGTCAGCTCAGTCCATAGATTTTAAATTACTTTAAAGTGCACTCAAGTAATGTTATTGTAACATGTTTGCTTAGAACAAGCGGCAGCACCCGAACCAGCAACAAAATCGCAGCAACAATGCGAACTCTAACACAAACGCGAGCCCCAATGCCAACCGCTCCAACAACTTCCGGGCCCGTGGTGGAGCCTTCAATGCAAGAGGCAACTTCAGAGGTATGAAAATAGAATATTAATATCTTTAAATTGTTGCAAATGATGTTCATTCTATAAACCAATCGAAATACGCAAAACTATTTCAACAGCATTCCAGCCTTTTCTTTGTTATTGTCTCTTAAATGCGTTTTTTGATGCATTCTATAGAGGATTATGCTTAATTGTTTTTTTATTATATTTTATTTAGTTTTGTTTGCATGTTTGAAATAGAATAAAAAACACAGTTTTGAACACCGTTGCACAGATGAAATATTTTTATTTTTTTTTTATTTTTTTTATAACTTCTATTATTGAAAAAAACTGTGACTTTACAAGAAGAATTAAATGTTCTCAGATAAAACAATATTTATTTAAGAAATCTGTCACAGAATTAAATGCGCCTTAATCGTGATAAATTGTAATAATCTGTATTCTATATAAGACTAGAAAATAGAAATAGGTGAATGGTCGGTTTGCGTTTGCAGGAGCCCGCGGTCGCGGAGGCTTCGGCGGTCGCGGCGGCGCCTTCCCCCGCGGAGGCTTCGCGCCCGTCAACACCTACATGCCGCCGCAGGGCTTCTTGGGCCGCCCGGTAACTAGCGCTCACACACTCTCATGCGCACACTCCTCACTGCGACTCACTCTCTTGCATGCTTTCGTCAATGATGTTACAAGTAAAGATATGTGACAAAATATTAGAATACTTTAGAAAGCGTAACTAGACCGATTGGCCTGGTTGACATGGTTAGCGAAAGTACTGCTGTTGTAATCTATGTTCCTTTTTACATGTAATCTCATTGATATCCTTTTTCTGCTTGCTTATACTGACTACTCAACACAAATAAAAAAAATATTACACCTCTATACTATATATGAGTCTTCTTCTTACTAAGACATACATAACTACATTTTTTTTGGCCCTGGGAATTTCTACTAAAATATTAACTGTTGGGACAAATTCAAGTTGAAAAAAAACCCTGCCCAGATTAATTTATATTTAAAACAAGGTAACAAATAAAGTTTTTTAATGCCACAATAATAGGGATGTTGACGTTTTTTATATGTTAACCAGACTATATTAATTTTTAAAAATTTACAAACATTGATTAAAAAGGCAAACACAATACAAGTTATTATAATGTAACTATAAACACCAACTAGATCCATTACGTCACTAACCGACAAATAGTGATAGTTGTCAGTTGGAGTTTTTTTATTAATTATGTATACAGGGGTGTGGCGTAAATAATGTAAAAGTCTATACCTGCCGATAAGTGGGCTATGTGGGCTATTCGAATATGGTTTTTATTTTTAAATTTCGGCCTGGTCTTAAAACAAAATGGTACATTCACTCACTAATTCTGCTACAGTTGCCACATATGTTTAGAATGTTTGCGTTTTGTTTTTTTTTTCGTAACACAACTGAAGAGTTTGTGCCATGTTAGCAATAAAGTTTCTTGCTTGTGCCTATAATATGGCAAAAAATAATATTAAACTAAGTTAAAAACATGCTTTCTTATTGCTGCTATAAGTAGTAAATAACTATTGAATATCGCGATATTTAAAAAATAAATAAACAAGTTCTAGACGACAATGTTGTTTTTTAAATAACTAATAATTTTCTAAGGAGAGGCCTATGTCCAGCAGTGGACTATTAAAGGCTGTTGATGATGAACTAAATTATTTTTTTAACATAAACAAGTTTTCATGCCCATACCCATGCACCAGTGGGTGGATTTTTAGGGTATTCTTTTCAATATAACACAATTAAATAATTTATTTTCTTTAACAATATTAGTCACTAATGAAAAAAACAAAAAAATAAAATAAACAAAATGTTAAAAATGATCGCCTCCTGTCAAGGCTCTGCATAGACGAAACAAAAGATCATTGGAGGTGTCGAACAAAGCCGGAGCTTTTTATTTTTTCACCATCTTGAAAGAATTCCAAAATTTGTGACAACTGTAAGAGAATTAGTGAGTGAAAGTACCTTTTTTTTAAAAACTAAGGCCTAAATTAAAAAAAACACATTCAAATGGCCCGCTAGCAGGTTTATGAGCAGGTACAGGGTTGTCCATTATTTACTTAACACTGTACATCTGCTAATGACATAGTTAAACTCCTTTGGACAGACGCGAGTGTCTTTAGTGTTTAGCATATTAAAAAAAAATCATAAAATTTTTTTGCTTTAACTTTGACAACATCGTTATTATGATTCTCTCTCTCTCTCTCTCTATAGTTCTCATATACCTGGTAGATATATTCCGTAGCTACATTCACAGTGCTTTTCTTCTATTTGCTTGAATCATTCTCAGTGTTGGTCACACCTGTATATAGATTTTATTCTTTGTTTGTATTTTGATCTTTGTTTCACATTATAAAATGTGAAGTATTTATGTAAATTCTTGACCTTCTTTTAGCAATAGTTTTCTAGTAAATCTTACATTTGCATTTATAGTTCCGAAAAAGCACTTGATGGTTTCAAATGTAGTTGTTTGAAATTATTCTAAAAAAAATTTAAAAATAATTTTAGACATGGAGAAACCTGATCGCGTCATCATAATTGTTATATTATTAATGACATTTTAATCTCAATACCTCCATATTTGAGGATTACTTTAAAATTTTTATGTTTTTACGAAAAATGTGGAAGGGCTCTTGCTTTGTTCTGGCTTTTTACTACTGTGTGTTGAACTACACGAAAAGTACTTCTTAATTCAACATCTTTCGAAAAGATTTTGAACAAAAGAAATAAATTTTCAACGTTTAGTAAAATGTTTTTTTTTGTGTGATTTGACATGAACGAATTTCATAGTGTGAAACTGTCTGCTAATACTACTTATTTACTAATATTTATTTTAACTTTTCCGTTGCTGTAAACATGTTATTAATTTTCCGTTCTCATTTTCGAACTGTATTTTTTTGCAATACCTTGATTAAAGCTTTTTTGTCCATTGCATGTTGTCATCATCAGAGAAACGAGTGCATAGAAAGATGTGCAAAGAAATGCAGTACAATGACCACAGAGTACCACTGAGAACAGATTACACACTATCTGTGCAATCTCTTTGCATTAACTTATTCTGTGCATTCTTTTCAGAATTACCTGTAGTTGAAAAATACATGTAGATGTACACACACTACCGTAAGTCGAAGGTAAATTCTGTACATATCTGATGATATTCTGTGTTGGGTGCGGACAATCAAAGAAATTCACCTTTAAGGGAGCGTTTATAAACTACTAGCTGACCCGCGCAACATCGTCTGCGTCTCTCAATAGTAATAAGTTTTCTCCGTTTTTGAAACATTCTTCATTGGTGCTCCGCTCCTATTGGTCTTAGCGTGATGATATATAGCCTATAGCCTTCCTCGATAAATGGGCTATCTAACACTGAAAGAATTTTTCAAATCGGACCAGTAGTTCCTGAGATTAGCGCGTTCAAACAAACAAACAAACAAACAAACTCTTCAGCTTTATAATATTAGTATAGATGTGGAGTTTTCTAGACTATAATAATAAATCCGTTTAAACGATTAAATAAATGTGAACCAAAATTATTTGAAAATAGTTAAATTAATTTCAATAAACACACATGTTACGGTGTTGATTATAATTATTGTGTAAGAAAAAACTTTGCCTTTTGGAATTATGTAAAAACGAGAGATCATCTCAATTTGTATAAACGAATGTTATATAATTAGGCAAAATCATCTTATAAACCATTTAAACTGACAGTTTTTATTATTCTTTCTTGTTCTTAGTTCAGGTAAGGGCTCATAATGAGACTTGGAGGCCCATGTATGTAAATAAAAATAAAAAACGTAAAACACGAAAATTTTTAAACCGGTTTAGTTAATTTTTATTTTACATGTTAATTAAAGTCAGAATAAAGTTTTTAGGCAAAAAAATATTATTAAAGTTGCTTGATTAAAGCATCAATGGTTAGAGAAAAGAAATAAATTATAATTTTGCCAGGATAAAGTTTGTCCAGACAGCTAGCTCGAAGCATAAACACAATAATATTAAATATCTAAGAAGATAAGATAGTGCTAAATTAGAAGTAAAAAAAAGTATGAATAAAGCTATCAAATTCTGAGTCGTAATGTAAAAACCACGTAGTTTATAAACGCTCCATATTTTATTTCTCTAAAGACACAATAACAATACAGGGAGTTTTTTTGGTTGTTCATATAAAGCGTCTCACAGACAGTGTGAGGTATGGACCTTCGGTTGTATTTACAATTTACGAGTTAGCGAATTTGATCTATCTGCTTTCACGGCTAATTTGATACACCACGCTTGCCTGTCTATGAGACCTTTTACTATAATACTCACGCATGCAAATATTTGTACATATTTTATTGTAATCACAATGACCCCATTTTTTTATTATCTTTTTGTGATAATTTTTGTTAATCGTCAACAACGTGTTATCTTACATCCTTATTGATATGGAGATCCTATTCTATATATCTGTTGACCCATCGATAGAATCCTGTCAGTGTTCTAGTATCCACCTCTGTCTCAACTCTGTTATTCGACTTTCAATGGCCATGTGATGTATCGAGATTAAAAAGGCGCCTAAGAGCAATTTGCAAAACTGCGTATCAATATTTTCTAAAATTTACAAAAGAAAGAAATAATTGATTATCCTGGGTAATAGGTTTATTTTTTCAACCTGTTTGTAATTCCTTTGCATGAAATTTTATAGGAATATAATAAAAAAATGGTAATATGTATTGTATACATATATCTTAATATCTAAAGAACAATGGCGGGGCTCCATCCAAAAAATTATTTGGAATCAAATTGCATCGTCTTGTACTCGTAGTGAGAAAAGTATAAAAAAATTTTTTAGGATCTATGTGTAAATCAATTTTTGTTTGGGAAAGGCTATGAAAAAAGAAATTAGTATTTGATTTTTTTAGTTACGCACTGCATTTTTTTATCTGGATAAAGGAACTTAAAATAATCAAATAAGCTTATAATATTTTTCTTTCTTTACCTGGGGTTTTACTGACTCAGACGATAGTTTCAAAAAGCGTAGATATTTACTAGAATTAGTGTCCCATGAATGACATTTTAAGACGCTCAAATTAACTCAACTACGAATTCGCCATTGTTTTTTGCGACTTTTGTAAGTATGCGTATTACAAACTGCTATTACACGTTTTTGCAGTCCTATAAACAACATGACTTGTTCTCGTTAGATACTGTACGGAAATTGTATTCCAGAACAGTTCTTTAATTTAGAAGAAAAGAAAATGGTGTTCCAGTGCCTTGTGATTTTTGAATCTTACAGCGTTTTGCAACTCGGTTGAAATATTTTTGAGTGTCTATAGAAATCACTGCGGAAAAACAACTTTTAGGACTCGGCGTTCCATTATCTAAAATTATTTATTCAAATCAAGCTGAATCAGCTTGATTTCTAAGTTACTCTCAGATTTCTTTCCAGTGTTATCGATTTTTAATATCTCAATCTTTGATTTTTACACGACTTTAGGCAAGCAAATAACTACATATTCCTGTAACCTCTACTTTTACACAAACAAGATCTAACAAGTCTCTTTTCCGACAGGGTGGGTTCATGAACGACGGCCAGCGGCCGAACAAGCGGCTCAGGCAAATGTAATCTATTTATATGTATAAAGACATAAGAACCGGTGTCGTGCATCGTCCCCCTATGTTCGTGTGTGTGTGAAGAGCGCCCTATCAAAGACTACAACAGTGACATGATTTGCAGTATCAGTAATAACAAATAAATCTAGCTAATTGTATTTACTAAGTACACGAAATAAAATAATTTTAAGCTATTGTCTTTTTGACAGGTAATAAATGTAATTACTAACATTTATATTGTTGTTTTATTTACAAAATATCTGTAGCCAAACAGTTCCATTATTGTTTTTAATAAGCAATTAAGTAATTTGTCCAGTAAGACAACTGCATTGTGAAATATAGGGTCATTGGTTACCCTCAGTTTATGCCTCAGATTTGCCAGCTACTATTTTAAAACACTTGCTATTTTTAAATCATTTTACTTCATAATTGGAAATTACCTTCTATAATAATGTAATATTCTCCCACATTCACACAACGTCTAGACCCAAACTAAGCAGAGCTTCTATTATGGGTACTAGACAACTAATATGAATACATATACACTTATTTTTGCAAATAAATGTATATTAAACATTGAAACAACCAGACCAAATTAAACATTAACCGTCTTATTATAAAACGTGGACTTAAAAAAGTACCGGCTTTAGTACTAGGTTTAAACCATGACCTTGAATAAACGTTATTACAAAAAGAAGTTTATCGCTAGTCCTAGAACTATCTATGGTATCAAAGTTAGACCATCGTGACCCCTAGTTTAACTATGGTACTAAATTGTCAAACGTCAAATTCTTAATTTTGAGGTTCGCTTTCGGAAAGGAATTTGTGATCAGAAACCAAAAAATGGATATTGATGCAATTGATATGTTTGATTTGGAAGATTTGAATGTGTTGGATATACTAGAATATCGGATATCGCAGCTCGGTGGCGTGGCAGTGTCCATGATTCTAGAATCTTTAGGGAGTGTCGCTTGAAGCAAAGATTTGAATCTGGAGCGTTTTCTGGCATCCTCTTAGGAGACAGTGGATATCCGTGTACACCATACTTGTTTACCCCACTGCTGAACCCAAGAACAGAAGCAGAACAAAGGTATAACAGGAGCCATATCCATACACGGAACACTGCTGAAAGATGCTTTGGTCTGTGGAAGCAACGTTTCCGCTGCCTACTAAGATGCCTATTTCCTGATGATGTCAACAATGAGCAATCCTCTAGGGATTCAATACCAGTGCAGCCAGTTCAAAATTCACTACGAGGGAATATTAGAAGAAGGCAGTTTATTGAAACTCACTTGTCATAAAATAACATTTATTATATATAACTATATTTCTTTTTTGTGATATGTATGTATATGTTTAATACATGTATTATATAAATGCTAAAATAAAAGCTAATGATCCTTTTTTCATAAAGTAAATCAAACATAAATAAAAGTAACTATTATCTTTAAGAAAATGCTAAAATCAGTCCTATAATACTAATGATTATTATGGGGAATAATTATGTTATATTATTATGTGATTGTCAAGATATTTGAAGTATTTAATCAATAGGAGATAGATTACATTAGTTATTTATTTGAAACTCTTGGCTGAACAATTTATACTTATTTAACTTATTTATTAATTCATATAGGACAACTTACAAAACATACACTAATACATAATTTACAAACATGTTTTACAAATATTTTCTGAGTGTTGTCTTACTTACAAGTTGCCACGGCATGGTAAGGGACAGTTGCATCTATTCCTTAGTAATGGTGTTAGTTTTTATCTGAGTCTCCAATAGTGCTATTTGTAACTGTAGCTTTTTAATTTTGATATTTCAACCTGATAGAAGTGCTGGGCTTCCAACATATCAAGCTGTTTTTTTTAAAATTCTGTATTACTATTTATAATAGCTTGGCGCCCTTCTTCATTTCTGTAAAATAAATTCTATATTATTATGTAATAATTTGACTTATTATTTTAGTGTGGTAAGCTTTATTTATATTTTCGTGGTTCCTTGATTGAAATAAAATATATTCAGTATTATCACATTTATTTTAACAAACCTATTTAGGGAGGCGGTTTTCCCTTTTGGTTTATTTTCTTCTATTTCTACACTACTTTTTGTTTGCACAGTTTCATTGGTGTAGATCACTGAAAATAATAAATAATATTAATGAAACTAACCTGTATTTTTCTTATTATGAAATTATTATACCTTGTTTTTCTTCAATACTGGACTCTACATTTTCATCACTTATAATCACTACAATTGGTTCTATTGAGCTATGGCCAGCATCAGGGTCTTCCACTGTTTGTTGTTGTTATATTTGTCATCTGTAACAGGTAAATGTTTAGTAAATTGTCATCATATTATACTCTCCACTATTGTTAACTTTTACTTACCACTGCATCACTGTCACAGTCACACGTCTACAACAAAGTCATGAGGAGCAATAGCCATGACTTCCAGGTCCTCTGGAGAAGGTGACGGGGGCTTGTTGCCACCTCCTGTTTTAGACTGCTCTCTCCTGTGAAGAGACAAGTTTGCCTTGGCTGCCAACTTCATTCTCTTCCAAGCCAACTTTATCTCTTCTACAGAACGATTTTTTCCGACGATTTGCTCACCACCAAGAATACTGTGCCCAAAGAATTGTGCCCTTAGGTACTTGTAGTAACAATAATCTTGAAGTGAAACCACAGTGAGGACATTTTTTTAGTTTAAGTTGTAACATAAACTTTTCGATTACATTACTCGAATTACGCGCGCCGTCCAGTTCACTCCGTTATACTCATACGTGCTAGCTCGGTAGTTGTTCCAAAACATAACATTAATAATTGGATTGTGAACATGCATTCAAAAAAATACAAGTCGGAATATTTAAATACCTTTAAATAACAAAACTTTAAATTTTACCCCTACAAATAACAATTCATAAAATATTTTTCTTTATATTTCGCAACAACATTTTGTTAAAAAGGAAAGGCGCGTAGAACGCTGAACGAATGAATGAATAATTTAAATATTTTGTTGCTTATAATCTGTGGAAAATGTTTAGTCCAGAGACGATCTTTGGTACTAAGTAGTCCTTTGTTGGTCTACGATTTGTAATAAGAATGAAAGAACTAACGTTAGTACCGTAATAAGCTTAGACCTATTAGTCCTGGTTTAAACCTGGTACTTATGAAAGTTTTTATAATAAGACGGTAAATGTTTACGCACATAAATGTTCGACTTAAGCGGGAAGAGGTCAAAATATGGATTCCATTTAGAATGTGACACAAGTTACCTACACTCCCTTAATAAAACTTGTGCCAGAAATAAATGTCTCTGACACTGGTTTTAAATCCACCCTCATAGATTTTAATTTTGATAACACAAAAAAATTGTCGCTTATTTGTTGAAATCAGTCGCCAAATATCAGAATTTGTCAGTAACTGGTTCAAAAGTTATTAGCGTTTATAGAAAGTGTCACTTTTATTTCACCGTTTAAATTTTATAAGGCAAATATTTGTTAAACAAAAATAAATACCTAGATGCTTTTTTTATTATAACTAACTAAAACTATTTTATAAAACCAATAAGTAACTTTACTACGTAACATTATATTATAATATACTAGCTGTACCCTGTGACGCTTCGCTGTGGCACACTGGTTGCAGTTATGTTTTTATATGGCTTGAGGACGTGTTATAAATGAAATCACTTGTTGCCTTCTTGACTATTAAATTATCATATGATTAGCCGTATTGCATAGACAGACTTTGACTAGGTACAGTGTGACAGCAGAGCAATGACTACTCAAGATGTACATAGTCTGGCGTGTTTTAGTGATGTTAATTACTAACATAGTGATGTTACAACAGTTGCAAAGAATAGATAAAGACTGGCTGACCTACGCTACTTCGTCTGCGTCTCTCAAAAAGCAAAAACTTTCCAAGTTATTGCAACATTTTTTCATTGGGACTCTGCTCCTCTATGTCGTGAACTAGAAAAAACATTTTGTAGTGGACCAAATTGTGAAGTGCGTCAAGCGATCCCCATTCGGCCATCGAGCCATCAAGATCGCTGCCGGTAAGTATACGAAAATTTTTACCTATTAGGTAAATCACCACCACCTTCAAGACCTGTATGAGTTTTATCTGTCTCTCATAGTTGGAAATTAGTGTATGTATATATTAACGTATGTATGTATAGTATTAATGTATAAATATAGATTAGTAGGATTCATGTATGATAAATATTTCATAGGGTAAGATATTTCTTTAATTTCTGTATACCTATCACCAGTTCAAAACGAATCCAGTCTAAAGTTTGCCTGGAAGAAATTGCACTGAGCGATAAGGCCGCCCTTTGTACCTTACATCTGTTGTTCATAACTTTATAATGTCTGTAAAACAATGGTGTACAACTAAAGTATTTATCTATCTATCTAAATCATATATTCTCAATTCGATAAAAAAAAATTGTAACATAAATTAGAGTAACAGTATAATTTAGTGAAACAGATGTATGCAACTGTGCATATTGACACCAGACCAAGAGCAGGGTTTAATGATTTTAAAGAAGTTTAAGTTACCCTAACCTATAACCCGGCAATCTCGTGCGCGACCGTCGCGCGGGGTGACAGACAGTGGCGGGGGCGAGGTAGCGCGTCATTCTAGCACACGGCTACACGCGTTTCCCTTCTCCGCTACACCACCCGCTACCCGCTGACATATTGAGTACCTCGTCCCCGCCACCGTCTGTCACCCCGCAGGACGGTCGCGCACGACGTTGATGGACTATAGTCATTTAAAACAAAAACATATCGTATTTTATTGAGAATTTATTTATCTCTGACATTTCAAAGGACCTTAGACCGATAAAACTAGAACCACATTACGCATACTTACCAATAGAAATATTTTTTCTTGACAATTTTTCGTAAACTCTACCTCTTAGACTATACCGGAGACTACGATCCGAGTAAATCTGTTACAAAAAATGAGAGGAAATAAATAATTTACGACTAAATTTGG